TTATATAGTACAGATGGCAGTTAAAGCACGATTTGCGGGCATAACTTATCCAATCCTACTTAAATCGAACAAGACAATACTTTAATTGCATTTAGGATGGGTTTATAAAAGGATCTAATTTTGATGATTTAGGTTCGAAACAAGATCTGATGAGATAATTTTCAACTGTGGACCTTGTTCATCTATCCTGGATTTGGATTCTCTCCACTACCCTTCCCATCCTCTTCTCCTTCACTACTTTCTTTTCTCTTCACAATCATTGGATCAAAATTCCAATAGTCTAGATTTAACATCTTATAAAAATAATGTTATTAAATAAATGAATGAATAAATTTAAACTGTTAAAATCTGGTCTGAACAGTTCATAACTGTAATAAAAAATTGAAAAAAAATTGCTCTATACTAACAATCTGTAGTTATGAACTATTTAGATTAGATTTTAACAGTTTAAATTTATTTATTCATTTTTTATAATAATATTTAAATATTAAATCTAGATCATTGGAGTTTTGATCCAATAGTTGTGAACTGTTAAAAAAAGGGTAGTGAAATGGAAAAGGATGGAAAACACAGTGAAGAGAATCCAAATCCATCCAAATCCATCTACCCAGGGCTTCTATTTTCCATAACCTTCGATTCCAATGCTGGTAGTTGAATAAGGCCAGGCCCCGGGGTACGCAGAGAATGGATAAAGGAATTGTGCGGGCAACGTCATTAATCAAATTATTCAAATGAAAAAATATGGAGGGGTTTGTCTTCTAACAAGAATATTGAACTATGGATCTTCGTTTCAATATTAACAATATATGATGATGAACTGATTTAAAAGAAGCTTTATTAATATGTCAAGAAAATGGCCCTTTCAAGGATGGGCTGACAAGGCAATAGAAAATTTACAAATTCGTGTATGGGAAAATAACTTGCTATCCCAACTGTTAACTGAAAATTTGAAATAGAAAGGAACAAGTAGGGTAATCAATTATCATTTATAGCTTACATGGTCCATCGAATTTTTAAACACCACATAAAGCGGTAAAACTCATTCCAAAGCAGCAGAAAGTTTGAAGGGGTTTCAAGAGAGAGAGAATTTTCTTATTGACTATATACAAGAAGGCAAGCATACTAACATCACTAATTACATTTTATGCTTCACACATCGCCTTATTTGTATCTTCTGTACTACTAAATTTTGAAGGAATAGGATCCAAGTTCCTCCCACAATAATAAAAGCATACTTTAACAAAAATCTAGGGTTCACTAACATTATTAGCTGCCACATTGACAGCAAGTTCGTCCACAGCTTCCATATTCTTAACACGTTCAAGAATCCCAGTGAGTTCTCTATGAACATAATTAAACCGTTCCTTGGAGATTAATGATTCTGTCAGCAGAGTGGCAGCCAAAGAATGAAAGGCTTCAGCACACTCATCACTGTTCTGAAGATTTTGTTCATCAAAAGGAGCCAAATAACTTTCTCGTCGCCACCGAGGGAGAAAATATTTCATAGGTAATTGGAAGTAGTTCTTCACTGCAAGTACACGAATCGAATGCCGGCACAGTATTCCAGAATGTTCAAATTCCTTGCAGGAACATTGAATTTGTTCGTCAGCTTGTGCCCAAATCACAAGGCGCTCTTCATCCATTTTCTTGTAGTGCTGAACAAGGTAGGATCCATTGGTCAGTTCTGTAGTGGCATATTGTGTTGACAGCACAATTTCATTTTGGAACACATTGAAAGCGTAAGGTGTAAGAGTACTCCTTGCATGTTCTTCAATAGGGATGCATGTCTTTACGCACATGTACTGCATCCCTTCTCTTGCCAACATTGATGAGGTAGCAACAATACCTACCTGCAAATTTCCCAGGAAAAAAAAAATGTATATCCATAATCTTTAGAACGGTTATAATTTAGGGAGCCTTCTATAGAAGTGATCAATCTACCTGCTCAAAAAATCCTTGTAGACATGTTTGTGAATCTAAAATTCTTTTCATGGTTGAATCCAAAGATTGTGAAAACTCAGCAGTCAATGAACGAGCAACGAAATAACTCTTAACGTAGCAGAGTGGCCAAGATGCTCGAAGTGAGAATAACAAAGCTATATGCTTGTCAGAAACAAGTCCAAATCGAGCTACAAAAAGATCCCACTGATGTTCAAAATTTTCTATGCTCTCTAGGTGACATAATATATTGAACTCTAACCTAAAATCTGCATACTGTACTCCCAGCGGTACGGAGAACCAATTTGATAGTTTTGATAGAATATGCCAAGTGCATATGACATGTTTAGTTTCAGACAACTCCTTAGAAATAGCGTCACCCAGAGTTGGATCTATGTCAGTTATAATTGTTTGTGGATGTCTCCCTCTCATAAATCGTACAAATGTCTGTTCAAAAGCCCCCAAAAAACAAAAAAGTCAGGAAAGAATTATTTGAAATTCAAGCAACTGAAGAATAAGAATTGTATCTACATACCCGTAAAGCCCATGCAAATGAATAAGAACTTTCGTCTTGTAACAACACAAGCCCAAATATTATCGCATTTCCATTATTATCAATGCCAAACCACACCCCAAGGAGTAATCCATACGTAACAGAACGGTATGTAGTGTCCAGGGTAACTACATCACCAAAAACAGAATATGCCCGAATAGATTCACCATATGACCAAGCTATATTTTCCACTTTACCATTTTCATCGGCAGTATAATCAAATATAAAATCGGGATCTTTATCTGTCATTGCCTTACAGGTCTCCACAAGTTCATGCACATCATTCTCTCTTTTTTCATTCAGGAAAGCATCATTTTCTTGAACTGCTTTCTTGCAAGTCCGAACAAAATTCCTAACATCCTTTTCTATGAAAGGCAGTTGTCCAGGCTGAACTCCTTTTTCAAGCTCTAACACCTTCACAATACGGTTCACAGGGAATCCAGCTTTGGATAGTAGAAGAATGCGTTCCTGATCAGCCTCTTGTATTTTACGATATGCTGGTAGAAGTCGTACTTGGTCATCTTCCAACAACTCATGGTTATGAACATTACTAAATTGGGACACATACCATTGAGCAACACCATCAACAATTTCCTTAGTCAAGTATAATTTTGCATCACATCCACATCGTACAGATTTTCGCTCTCTGTGATGCTCCACATTGGCCTTTTTTCTTGGTTGATTGAAGCCAGATCTGTAACAAACAAAATCCCTTCTATATATTCCTAAATGTTGGCTTTCTGTTGAGCGAGCTTTTCTGATTGAAAATCCATTCTTCCGGGCAAAATTGCTATAGTATTCAAATGCATCATCATCGCTTTTGAAAATTTGACCTACATAAGGAGTGAAGACAGCTTCTGATGATGACGATGAAGGCACTGTATCAGTCTTTGTGGCCTGAGATCTTACTGACATCTGATCATCTCCATCATACTTCATAAAACACTTCCAATCTCCACATGGACATTGTTGGCGTCGAATCCATACGTTATTTGATGGTTTCATTCTTATTTTCTAGATAAACAAGAAACAGTACTAACTCACAAGTTACAAACTATTATCCTCTACTTTACTGCACAAGAAACCAGATAAAAGGAAAAAGCCAATTAAAACAGAAGTCAAAGGAAAGAAAAAGGCTCAAGATTTATTTTAAGGATGGAACACAAGCAAATATCAACAATCGTTCAGTTTCTCTTGAAAAGTCGTTCTAATTTATTGGGTGAATCACAGTTTGCTCTCCTTTGGTTTGGCTCAAAAAATTTTCTTGCTGTGCTTGAAGTATAAACCCCCATGATTTATTTATTAACCGTAGATACCGGCAGTATTTTTCATCTGATAAAAGATGATCATGTGAAAGTTTCCTGAAATAAATCAGTCTCCTATCATGGTAAATCTGTCATTCAAGCTCTCCTGTGATTTTATATCAATCACTCAACCCCCTTAGATCACTAAATAATTCACCATAAACAGTAGGAAATAAGAAAAGTTAAAAAAAAAAAAAAAACTGTATGTGTAAAAATAATAATAATTACTTAAACCATTACTTTACAAGGCATGTATATAAAGACACTGTTCACATTTGAATAATAGCTAATATTTGAGGCATTCGTGGATTGAAGTATGCATAGAGCAGAGTATACCAGAGATGTGTTGCATGCCAGAAAGCAAAATGATCAAACTCACTTCAGCATATCTCTCCCTTCTGCACTCAAAGCACGCTTCCATCTGTTTATCTCTGTAAATAGAGTAGATCACGGTCATGCCACGCATCAATGGATTGTACTATTACAGAAACTAGTAGCCAATCTAATCCTTACATGTTCAACACTAGAAAAAGTAGATAAAATGTAGCTTGAGGAATTATCCGTTACTTTCATTAAAGAGCATGCAAACTACGCTTGAGGTATTATGTATGAAACCAAATGCTGAATGTCTGTAGTTGCAAACCCATGTACAGGTTAAAAACATCACAGATGATTTCTCAAAGAAATAGTTCTATTTTGCAGTTCATCAATCCGCCAAGGAACAAGATTGGACTGGTCAGGATAGTCTGCGATAAAAAAACCCCAGACCAACAAATAAATGCAATTGCCTATGTTAGACAACTTAAGCAATAAGACCCAGTATTTCAACTTTCTTTTACTAAAGGGAATAACACGATACATTTATCATATCCTTCATCTTTTCATTGTCATCCCTCTAGATATTGCAAGTGTTATTTTTTAAAACACGTGACTTTTGCAAAGTAATCATCTCAATTATTGAAAAGAAAAACAATAAGATGGTCCGGAATTCAACAGCTATAAAAACCTACACCAGAGGACACAAATCAAAAGGTCGCGGAATGTAGTCACACGCTGATGGAATTGGCAAAAATACTCTAGCATCTTATTCACTAGTACAATAAATGCATTATCTCTGGATGATTTATAATTATTATATAATTTTAAATAAGTGGGAAATATTGATACTTTTCCAAAACAATGCAAACTACAATACTAGGTGAATGAGAATGTTTTTGAACATCTTATCAGAAAGATCAGCAGTATCTCCAAGCTTTGATGCATATTCGCATGACAGCCTAAAGACGGGCTTCAATTCAAACCACATTGCATGACTATGTCAAATTAACATATGGTATAGACACTATCTTACATGTTTAACCATTACATTCTTTAGATCAGAAGTTAAGGACTAAAAAATACTAATATAACCCCATTTATTCTACCTAAGAAGTCAAACCAACCAAACTGCAGAACAAAACATTCATATGAATGACAAACACAAAACTGATTTATCTGCTCATATGCCCAAAATATACGGCCCATCTTCACTCACAACGTCTCACTTTCTTTCTCTACCTTGTTTCTCTTTTTCCAGCTGGTCAAAGCAAATTAACATCAACTACTTATATAAGTTGAGCACGCTGACCAAGTCCCCTCAATGCCACTTGAAATAAGAGTCTTGGGCAATATTTCTGTATGTGTAACATGAAGGTCTCCACAATATTTGTAGAACCATTCACCAATAATCCCGGCAAGAACAGATGCCACCCTCAAAATGGTGAAATCTGTTTGAATCTCGTAAAATTATCTGTCGATTAACAATCTTTGATATGTACTTGAAAGCAGCGTGGCAGTCACCACAAACACGAAGATTTTTCATTATCCTAATTGGCAGTTCAGATTTCCGGGTAAGAACAAAAGCAATTGCCAATTTTTCACTATGATAGCTCAACATTTCTTCTTTGCTTTCAAGGTCAAGATCAAACAGCGCATATTTGGTTTCAGGAACATAACCAGCATCCCTCATTTTCCTAGTTAGTTCCTGGAGTTTTTCATAAATTTTTTCTCTCTCTGGGTGTTTTTGATCTCCAGCTACGAATACATGAACACCGTCCTTCATGGTGACCCAACTACACCCTGCTTCTTTCTTCACTGATGCCTTTCGCATTGCCATCCTAGCATCTGCCATAGCTTCCCACTTCCCACCTGCAGCATGCATGTTAGAAAGAAGCACATAGTTCACAGCATTATGTGGCTCCATCTCCATAAGCATCTTGGCGGCTCTCTGACCTAGCTCTGTATTGCGGCCATGATTTCGACAACATGCCCCTAAAACTGTTCTCCAAATGAGGACATTAGGATCCATTGGCATGGTGTTGATCAAGTTCTCTATTTTATTAACATCACCAGCTCGCCCAAGGAGATCAACCATACAAGAGAAATGCTCAATTCGAGGAGCTAGTCCATACTCTTCACTCATTGATTTGAAGTGCTCAAAGCCTTCATCAACTAAACCAACATGACTACAAGCTGATAAGACCCCAACAAAGGTAACGTGATCTGGTGATTGGCCATGCTCTTTCATTCTTGAAAAAAGCTTCAAAGCTTTTGCTCCAAGTCCATGGCGTGCATAGCCTGATATCATTGAGTTCCAAGTATATACGTTCCTCAAAGGCATCAATTCAAAGAATCTTGAAGCATAATCTATCTTTCCGCATTTGGCATACATGTCAACTAGTGCACTCCCAACAACAACGTCAAATTCTAAACAAGCTCTTATGGCACATGCATGAACTTCCATTCCCCGCTCTAAAGTTGCAACTGAGGCACAAGCACTAAGAACAGTGGCAAGAGTGAAACCATCCAACCTTTGGCCCCTCTGCATCATAAACCATACCAAATCCATGGCCTTGTCCAGGATGTCATTGTGTATATATCCAGAAATCATGGAATTCCAACTGACGTCATCTCTTCTATCTGACATTCTACAAAAGATCTTCTCACAGTCATCCATCTGACCAGACTTCCCATAGCAAGCTAGAAGAGCATTCTCAATGGCATTGTCATTAGCGACAGAGTATTTTAAGATCAAAGCATGAATTTGAAGGCTCAGTTCAAGCAGTGAAAGAGAAGAAACTGCTGCTAAGACACTCATAAACGTCACTCTATTGAGCCTCCACCCAGTTTGCATCATCTCCTGGAAACATTTTATAGCTTGTAAAATTGTTGTCTCTGAGTTTGCTAGCGCTCCAATCAAAGTATTCCAAGAAACTTCATCATAATCTGGCATCAGACAGAAAATTTTCTCACAGGCCTTGAGATTACCAGTTTCACCATATAATGCAAGAAGTGCATTTGAAACTGAAACATCTGAATCAAGCCCCCATTTGAGCCCTTCACCATGTATTTGTTGTCCTAACATGATCCAACCCAAGCTTGCACATGAGCTCAAAGTACTAATAACTGAGAAATTTGAGGGCATCAGTCCGCTTCTTCTCATTGCATGGAAACTGGAAACTGCTTCTTCAAATCGCTCATTTTGGTCTAGGCCAGAGATAATAGAATTCCATGAGACAACATCTTTATCAGCTATGAGATGGAAAACAGAGCAAGCATAACCGATAGCACCACATTTTGCATACATATTGACAAGAGCATTTCCAATTGAAACATTGTCATCAACTAACGCACTTCGAATCAGGTAAGCATGAAGCTCTTTACCCTTTATCTTCCCTTCCTTCAAATTAGAAAATTCAGGAAAAGCACTTAAAAGAACAACAAAAGAAAGATTGTTTATTTCAACTAAATCTTTCATCTCCCTGAATACCTCAGCTGCTTCTTCACCCTGGTTTTGCTTCACCAATCCAACCATCAACCCATTCATGGACACTGCATTTCTCTCAGACATCTGCTTAAAAATCATTTTGGCATAACCTATTAACCCAAACCTTGCATACCCACTGACCAGTGCACTACCAACATACAAATCTTGTAAGAATCCAGATTTCTCTATCCTGGCTAATATCTGTGCAAGCAAACTTAATCCACAGTCAACAAGAGAGTATGCAGCAGTTACTAAGCTACCAAAAGTATATTCATTAGGCCTCAGTGTGATAGCTTCCCTCTGCATGCTTGAAAAGAGTTCAAAGGCAGAAACTACATCCCCCTTATAACAATATACTGAAATGATAGAATTCCACGCTACAGAATTTTTAATTTGTATTTCATCAAAAACACAACGAGCATCATCAATTGAACCCAAACAATGTGCATACATGGACATCAGCACATTAGACAGAAACATATCTGATGCATATCGTGATTTGGAAATTAACCCATGAATCTGCATTCCAAGTAGAAGCTTACTTGGACCACATTTCTGGCAAGCTCGAAGAACACTACCAATGGCGTAGTGGTTTGGAAACTGGTTTGCACAAAGCATACCTTTGAATAGTCTACATGCCTCATCAGGTTTGCCATTTTGAGTATAGCCTGAAATTAAGCAAGCCCAAGAAACATGGTTCTTTTGTGGCATTTCATTAAACAGCTTCTGTGCATAAACTAATTTACCAATTCTAACATAAATGTTCATAAGGGTGTTGGACAGGAAAACGTCATTGGTGAACCCAGTTTTGTAGATCAGCAGATGAAGTTGATAGGCATCTTTGAAGCAACAAGAATTTCTGTAATGATGGACAAGTAACTCATAGTTATCCAAATTTAAAGGAGAAATACAAGATGAGGCAGGTGACAGTTGAAGCTGGTTCTGTGATAACTGAGGAGGTGGTATGATATGATCGTAGCATGGGTCCTGATGATTGAAGGGAAGAGGGTTATCTGACGGAAGGATAGGCAATACAGCAGGTGCATGCAGAGGCAGAGCATGCCTTGATTTGTGGAAGAGTCGTCTGCAGCAGAGGGGATACAGGGGACCAGCAAAACATACCATGGTTAGAACCTTGGCTCATGCTTTTAGCATTTCTACAGTAGTATGATCATCTTCATATTCAACTAGCACCATATGGTCACTATTGGCCATATTAAATCTGTGAACAAGATTGTGCCAGCGAAAAGATGCATTAGGATAGCTATGATAACAGCCAATCACAAGGTGCACATTTGGGAAGGAACCCGTCATGATTATAGTTTCCATCAGGCTGATTGGTCCCTCCGTCTGAACTTTATAAAGATGTGACTTGTGCATGTAAGCAAACAAAAGAAATTGAAACAACGACAGTTATGCCCAGTGGCAAAGGGAGGCGGGCCTCAATCATATAGGTATTATACACCTCCACCCCAGCTCCACAAAAAATTATACAAACTTCCTCATGACTAAATCCTAGGTACGACCTTGGTTATGCCTACAGGATTCTACATTGTATCATGTAATATTTTAAACAATTTTTCCCTGTCTAGATATATTTGGAAACGTAAGTCATGTATCCTTAATTAAAAATACTGAAATTTAATCAAGCATATAATTACTATGTCACAAATGAATATCAAGAAAAATCACGGCGGAAAAGGAAAACTTAGTAATGAAATAGCTGTCAAATAAAATCCATTTAAGTATCTGCTAGAACCAAACGTTCGGACATCTAAAAAAAAAAAAAGATAACACACATGGATTTGCATAAACTGATGTCCCAGGGTCCTTTTGAAAATTAATAGAACGTCAAACTATTGATGCGCACGAAATCATGAATTACCGAAACAATTCATAAACACACAAAATATTGAAACTCCCAAAAGCAGTAATACGTTATTGACACATCTTTTGGGGTGGGGGCAATCACAGTTCTACATGAAACATGGCACAAGGTAACTGCATATATTACTAATGCAACTGAACGACAAATAAAAACCGATCTGGGCCAATCCTCAACAATGATGAAGCTGCAATATCTTATCTTAATAGCGCGTGAATGTTGAACCGCACGTAAAATAAATTAATAGAAGAAGAAAATAATTGCTAGGCAGCACGGGAACAGAAGACAAAATATAAAATTTGAAATGCAACAAGGAAGTATCGGAACAATAACGTCATAAACACACATACTGGCTCTGTTTCTCCGTCTTTCAACAATGTTGTAATTCACAGAACCTGCAAGCGTGGCAGGCAGTATAGCTCAGTAAAATGAAAATCAGCAAAAAAGAATTAAAATCCAAGAATCAAAGAAAGGGCATTCCCCAGAATCACTAAAGCTAAAAACTTACACAAATACTGAATCGTCTTGAGACCCATAGCGAGATAGGAATGGCTCATTGAAGGGAGAGGCGACTGTAAATAACAGGAGACAAATGAATTCTCATGACTAACATAGTTTATTGGTTGTTAGGAGCAGAAGCAGCACACCAAAAGAGGATTCAGATTCTACTCAGAAGCTCAGAGCCCTGAAATGATACTGCATACTTGAAGATTGGTGAGCACAATTACGTGCGCGAATGGGAGGGTTTCAAAGGAACAATAAAAAGAGAAAGAAATCCTGTGAATAGAGAAAGTTAAAGGTAGAAGATGGCGTTAATAGGCCTTTCAAGCTGAAACCAGGGACAAAGCAGTAGAGACCGCTAGCAGCGGGAGAAACTGTTCTGGTTCCTCAATCGGGGAAGGGAAAGACGACGGAAACAAACTAGAGACTTGGAGCAGTTAAGCTCAGGCCCAAATGAGGAAAAGGCACTGAAACCGAACGAGATGAAGGCCCAAACATGACGGTAACACCAACATGTTTATTTCTAGGGCTAATAGCTTTTGATTTGTTACGCTCAGATTACTGCATGTTTAATTGTTTATGATTTTGCTATCAATTACTACATGTTTATATATAAATTAGAGGATCCTCTCCTGAATTATGAACAGTTTTATGAAGAAACAGTACCATCTCCATAAAAATCATACTCCCTGCATCCTTAATTATGAGAGAAAATTTTGAAGGTTATGATGGCCCCTTTAATTTACATTAAACATTTTACAAAATTTTAAGAGTAATTGGTAATAGTAATTTTTTTTATAAAATGTTTCCAAAGGATAAATAGAAAAGACTTGATCCCCATGATGAACAAATGAGAAAGCTTTCCTTGAAAAAAAAAAAAAACCAAATGGTTAAAAGATGAAAATGGTGAATATTAATTCAGGCTTTAGGTATAAACTGTTTTTAGCTGTTTTCTTTTAAACCTTAAACCCATGTATGCGAGTTGGGTAATTTTCTTATAGGTAGGGATTGAGATTTGAGAGGGTATTTATTAAATTATTTTTAAATTAAATGGACAATAGATGAATACTAATTATTTGAGATTTATGGTGAGATTGAAACCCAATCTTCCTTTTATTTTTAATTTTTTTATCAAAATATACCATCAATCATGAGCCGTTTGTTTCTTATTAAAAAAAAAACTTCAATAGGGGCATATGAATTTGGAAAAAAATCCCATAAAAAGAACATGAAAATCTTAAATTAAAATTGTTTTTTTAACATTTTAATAAGTTTTTTTTTGCGAATTATATTTTAATAAGTTTTGATTTAATAATTTTTTGTGGAAATTCCTGATTTATGGTTTAATAATTTTCAGACTCTTTTTGTGAGGTTTTTCCTATCATTTTTCATATAAAAAAAATTAAGATAACCATAATAAACTTTTAAAAATGAAATAAATGGCTGAATTCTTTCAGATGAAACGATTAAAAGTTTACAAAGCGCCACGTGGGGCCACTGATGATTTTCGATAAGGCTAGCATCCGAAAACAAAATCTCAGTGGCCGTACCAGGGCGATATCCAAACCGAGCTCATATGTGATAGACTGAGAGGTGATGGCTCAGTGGAGCACAAAAACTCACAAGAAATGGCAGCCAAAGTAGCTCTCTCTTGTTCCCTTTCTTTCAAGTCTTCCTTTTTACTAAGCCTTTGTTCTTCTTCTCCTTCTTCTCTGTTCAACCCCTTCCTCACTCTTCCCAGAACAAGGCCTCTTCGCTTCAAACTTCATGCCAGACTCGGTATCTTCTCCTTGACTTTCTATCTGTTTCTATTTTAATTCCCGTTCCGTTCTGTTGAATCCATCCGGGACCAACATAGTTATGCTACCTTAAGAATCTGCTCTTCTTCTGTTGCTCTTAGGTGGTGAGGATTCAGAAACTAAGAAGGGTGGAAAGAAGAAATTTATTACCCGAGACGAAGAACCGCAGCAGTAAGAATTCCCCGTTTCTGGGTTAATTTTCAGGTTACGAAGGACATAGAATTCTGAGGCGTCGAAGCTGATGCATTTTATTTGCTCTTGTGACAGATACTGGCAAACAGCTGGTGAAAGGGAAGGAGAGAATCCGATGAAGACCCCTCTTCCTTACATTATCATATTTGGTATGTCAACTCCTTTTGTAATCTTAGCCATTGCTTTTGCTAATGGTTGGATCAAGGTCCCTGTTCGATGAAAGCTGAGACAATACTGCTTCTTGCTCTAAGGTTCTGCAGAAAATAAGTATTTAGTCTCTTTCTTCTGTACGGATAATCTGTTATGTATCAATTTGATAAACAGAGTTTTCTGTCCAGCCATTATCAATATTCATTCGAGAATGCTATTACTACAGAGCAGCAGTTTGTCCATTTTACAGATATATTTTGAAGAACACAGGAAAATCATGAATTGCTCTCTGTACATTCAACCTTGGATTTCTTTATTGTATTATAGTGTGCATTCTAATCTAACAAAGGAACAATTATACATAAGCACTTGCTTTCTTTTCACACTTAAGGGCCTAAACGGCATAACCACACTTTCCAACTACTTGCTCTGTTTTCAAGTGTGAAAAATCAAGCCCTATGCATAAGCGCTTGTTTATATTTGGTGGGATGTGCATCACGTACACATCTTCTGGGGCAAATATAGATGTGACTTTGACGTTTCAAATTTTATTATTTTTTTCTTTTTTACATTTTTAGATCTACATCGTTTTTATAAAAAACAAATTGCCAGTTAGGATATTGCTTTTATTTTGCATCCCTCTTCTTTGCAATGAAATAGTGAAGTTGAATGGATTAATAATAAGATCTAAGCCATACAAATCAAATCTTGACAATTCAGAGAATCTGCACCCCAAATATGGTTCCCTGTGTGAGTTATATTTTGATTCGGTTGTAATCAAACCAAACCAAATCAAGTCAAACCAGTAACCAAATTGCTTAAATGGATTTTGATGGAATTGTTTTTAGTATTTTTAAGTTTTAGTTGGTTTTGTTCAACTTAGTCGGTTCAATTAGTTTGGTTTAGTTATGAAAACTTCTCATACCATAACGGTGGTCACTCATGGGGTACTTAAAATAAGAACTGGTCATGTAACCCTTTTCTATTAACTATTTGTTAATGGGCTTCACTTAACCACAATATTAAAGAAAATATTTTGGAGGATTGAAATAAGGTGTTCAAGCAGGGGGGAAAAAAAAATATATCTTTCAAAGACCGTAACAACAATGCTCCACCAAAATCTTAGGCTGCATCAGAAAAAGCATGATTAAAACCAAAATGCATTACTAGTAGCTAATAGATGCTACAGAATTCCCAAGTGAATCTGTATCAGAGCTGTATGGATAAGTGTAATTGGTTGGCAGCCAGATTGAGTAATATATTACTTTGTTTCTCCAGAAACCCTGACAGATGTTTGACATGGCAGGAAATCTCATATTTACTTGTTCCAACCTTACTTTCTGCAGAACAAATTCATAAGCTTAACAAATATTATCAACATCACTTTAAACCAGACAAGTCCTACCAATAACAGGTGAAAACAATGCAAGTTTGATCATCTTTCTCTTGTCAGGGACCTGTACAGTAGTGTAGTGACATATTTGAGTTGAAACCTAGAAGTTGATCTCAGTGCAACAAATGGTTCCCCTTCAGTTTTGTGAATGTAGAGATGATTCAATTCAAGATGAGTAGGTCTCGGGAATCTCTGATGAATATCAGTGGATGATGAAGGCTCATCTCTTACAGTCACTGGCATTTGTGGTGGTAATTCTGGTGGAGGCTTGTCAAATTCTTCATCATTTAGCAATATGTTGTCGTAGCTCCATGGTGGTGATGGAGGAGATTCGAAATCTGGTAATTTTGCATGACTTTCTGGAATATAGTCCTGTAAAATATGGTTTTGTCATGAGCTAAGTCAGAATACTATTCTGCTGAAAGAAAAGAAAAGGATGTTCAAATGCTAATTCCTGCATCAGGCTATTGAGAAAGGGCATTACAAATGCAAAAAAATGAAATCTTTCTGGGGATATTGGTCCTGAATTCTGTGAAAGCTTGCGCTATAGGGAGAAAAATAACCGATATGGAAACCCCATTCAATCAAGATAATTGGTTGGGAATCCTCATTTAACAACTGGGATCTACTAATCAAGTAAATAGAAGCAAGTGATGCGCTATCGAGACGTAATGCCATAAAGTCAGAGAATAAAAATTATCTGTTAGTTTAGTATCTGTCCAAAGGCTTCTGATACATTCTGCATAAAACTAAGAAACAACGCAGGTGATGAAATCCTTATTATGTCCAGTAATTTTATATTAAAGAATGCCAATTATGCTTTGCATGGAGAAGAAGAAAAGAATGTAGAATACAGACCATGATTTTACTTTAATTGCAGAAATATTGGAAAGTCTTGTTTCTGGGTATACTTGTTTAAAGTCGATTCCTCATGCAAAATCAAAGCTTATCATACTTCCTTCAAGTGATAAATAATATCAAAATAAACTACTGCTATCAGTAATCTATTCTGCATCGAGAAGCAAGAAAGCAAGACTGAATGGGAAGGAATGGTTTTGGAGAATCAAATTAAAAATCTATATTTTCTGAAGCAGATAATTTACCTGCAAATCCAAAATATTGTAAGCATAGCCAGAATCATCAAAGGCCCAAGGGAATTCTGGAGCATACGTGAAAAAGCCATCAACAATGAAGCGGTAATGATAGATACCAACTGGGAGTGTTTTTACAGCAACAAAAATCTGCCCCACTCTCTGCAAAACCTCCCTGACAAGAAAAAGACAGAAGAATTTCTGATATCAAAATATGATTTTAAAATCAAATAACTGGAAAAGGTGTGGATAATAATTACGTGGTTTCCCAGTTATCCCATGATCCTGCAATAGCCACATTATTCCCAGGATGATTCCATGAGAACTTCACTCTTCTCAACTGTTCATGAACCATTGATTCTATATACCTATTTTGCAGTAGCCGAGTTGGAGCTGGCAGTCCAGGAGATGTTGGAACTGTCATTGTAGAAACCTTGATATTGGAAAATAGACACTTAAGATTTCAGCTTTTCTACATTCGAGTTCATGGACAATTGAGAAGCTTGAATGCTGACAAGTAAAGGGGACACAGGCACAAGTGGTGAACGTGATCATACAGTCACAGTTCTTTGTCCGAAATATTTGTGTTTCATAGATTGACTCAACGTCTTCATTAAATTGAAAAACATCAAAACCTCGAACATGACTACTTATAAATTTTCACGCAATCTGGAAATGAGCAGTTATACATTCTGATCAATGATCAGAAAAGAGAGTCTCGGAAAGTCTAGAGAAATTTGTGTACTCTTGAAGTCAGACAAAGTCTAAAATAACCTTAACTGTAATAGCCAAAAAAATTCCCAAAGAAGGTCAAAAACAGTTCAGAGAGAAAATACTTAGAAAATTTAAACGCTGTCCCACTTTCATGGGAAAGATCAGTTGATTGTCACAAGTCAAAGTAAAAACAGAGTTTTCGGCCTCGAGTTCAAAGCTGAACCCCATGCGATACATACACCCTAAGAGAACAACATACAGTCTTGTTTCAGAGCTTGCTTCAATAGAATTTCTTAGTCATTCTTCTAGGACACAAGAGAACAACCATATAATACAGAAAAGAAAAGGAACCATAATTTTCTTAAAGAAAAATTCATCTGACCGGTGGGGCGACCATAGGAGCAGGGAACGGCTCAGATGCTGTAGCAACACCTGGAGAATCCTGACCCATTAGATCTGAAAGCCCATTACTCAGTTCATGTTCAAACCCGTCGTCAAGCTTCTTAACTCCAGAAGTGCCTTCACCACCATCTCTAATTTCTTTATTGTTACTACCCATTACTTAAGAGAAGAAGAAAATGGAGGAAAACCCAGATTTTAATCCAATCACTCAGTATAAATCACCCTCAGAGTCCAAAAACCATGAAAAATTTTCCCCACAAGAAGCTAGGTAGATTTCCAAGTTCATGTAAAGAAGCTGTGAGAAGTGAGAACAGAGAAGGAAAAACAAAATCAGAAGTTTGACATAATCTGGTTTCTTCTGGGACACCCATGTCTGTAAATAAATAAAACACAAACCTTTCCAGGAATTCGATGAAAGCTGCACAGTGGCATTATTTGTTGTCGTAGAATTTTCTTCCTTCCCAATTTTTTCCCTCTTTGTTTCGTATTTGACGTATAATGATTCTCTCTTTTTTTTTCTTGTCGCAAGTAACTGAACGATGTCCAGAGTTTTATTCTCCAGTGAGTTCGGAAGATTCTCTGGGTGGACTAATAATTGTGACTCCAGTTTGGGAGAGAATGTTCCCTTAATATACGGAACAGCCAAACACTGTCTAATTTGCTGTGCAAACTTTTTCTTGATTCTTTCTCTGATGCTGTTTTGATAAAGGCATGGTCTCTGTCTGTACAAGGAAAAAGGAAAACCGCCCCCACAATACTGAATGATTACACCAGCTAAATAAACTTGTTCTTCATGGGGTTGAATTGGTGGATTGCATTAAAAAAAAAAAAAAGGGAATATATTAATATAAATAGAAAAGAAAAAGGGAAAAGATTCAAAAGGAACTTATTCAGAAACAAATGACATTGTGGTTACAGCCCATACAGGGAGGCATGAGTTGTTAATTGGAAGGGACATGTCTAGTTTGTCTTCTTATACCTTGTTTTTTAGTTGGTAGTTTACTTTATCAAGGTTAAATCACTTACTTTGTTCTAGGTTAATAATAATTCATTTATATAAGACTTTATGTTTAATCAATTTAAATAGTTTATTTTTCTTCCAAAAAAAATTATTGCTAGCATTGCTAGTTTAAGAAAGATTTATTAAAAAAAAAAAGAAGTGTTTGGTGTTACTCAACTGGAGTTGCAAGATCCAACTATTACTTTTCTCTTTCTAGACATACGTATAATCTTATTAGAATTAATTATATTTGAGACACTATCGTGACTAAATATAAGTCCTGCTCTTAACAGGGTTGATTCGCCAGGAACCACCATCTTCTCCTAAAACTAAACCTTGTTAGTCCAACTATTACTAGGACATTTGAATCACACCAAGTAACTAAATGGTATATCCTCAAGATGCTTACTTTTTCTTACCTGAGAGATAAAATTAAAAGGATTGATTGATAGAAAATCAAAATCAATATATAAATATTAGAATTTAAAAAAATTCAAACCAAAATTATTTCATTTTTATATATTTAACTTTTATTAAAGAATTGCTTAAAAATTATAACTTTTCCAGAATCTCGTAATATTTTTTTTAAAAAAAATCCTATAGTAATTTCCTATTATTGAAATAATTATAACTTTAAAAATCTTTTAAGAAGACCATTTTAAAAGCTGGGCCCTTCACTATAATTTTCCCCTAGCTTGGTGGTAGTGCAACCTTTTCTTTTTCTTTAGGTATATATAAGACAAAGTAAGAGCAAGTTGAATGTGACATTGTGTGCAATTGGGGAATAAAGAAATAGCAACCTATAGCAACAAGAAAGAAATAAATTTAATTAAAGAATAGATTAATGCTTAAATGTACTTCATTTCATTGCTTTGTGATATCAGATGACTCTTAATTTCCCATTAATTTCCTGTTGTGTGCATGAGAGGCAAAGCATGGCACTGTCAAGTGATGATGTGGCAGCAATTTTTTTCAATTTAAAATATTATTAAATAAATGTCTATCTCTAATTACAAGTAGCCTCGTCTCACTTCTCACTTTGATCCTTTGACAAATTCATAGAATCCATGTTTATATTGATTATAGTTTTAAGTTAGAGTTAAAACATTGTTATTGTCATATTAAGAATGTTAAAAAAATCTCATCTTTTATTGTAACATATTAATAAAAAAATGAAGAAATTCGAAATTGATTAAAATTTGTGTTTTTTAAACTTTGAATTAAATGATAATTGTGAATAATTATACCATCTCTTTCACAAGTCTGCTCACCAATCTAGTGATGAAAACAAAGGTAGGATTGTGCCAAGAAGATGCCAACACAAATGGGAAAAAAGAAAAAAAAAAGAGAGAGAACAAAACTAAAATCATTTTTATATAACTATATGATTAAATTAGATTTCAATATTATCGGATTCAATTGGAGGTATCCTTTTTCTATATTCGCACGGTTTTGAATTCGAGACTTTTTTTGTTTAAATAACTAAAATTCTTTTCACTATAACCAATATCAGTTAGTAAAAAAAAATTATTTTAATAGGGCCATTGTTTTTAATTTTATTTTTTTATTTAAATCAAAGATCATACATATACTTCCCTGATCCTATTTATAAGGAGTATCTAACGTATTTCACACAAATCAAGAAAAACTTTAAACTGCATTAATTCTCCATTAAAATATAGCAACTTTTCAACTTTATCCATATTTAATATATACATCTTTCAAAAAAATAAATATCTACACTATAATAAATAAAAGACAATATAGTACATTTATGATAAAAATTTAATGAAGTAACTTATAAATAGGATCAAGAAATTTTTTTTTCCCTCTACCCTTTAAATAGGACCAGAGGAGTAAACAACAATGAAGACATATAATATAGTATAATAATGATATAATAATTAATAGAATAGAAAAGGTGACAGTATTATCGAATGTAACGATGATCTCATCCCTTTTCTTATACGTTTGCTCCCTTGAAACCAACCACAAGTTGTGCCTTCTCATGTGGTGACAAAAACCTCCCTCTTTACTATTCTTCAATAATCACAAATCTTACAATTATTTATTCACTTAATTTTTCATATGATCATTAAATACATTGCTAAATTTAAGATTTTATGAAAATTAAAATGAAATTCTAAAAAAACTTTTCGCATTACATATTTTCCTGCATTACAATTTGTAGCGTGTTGTGAAATTTTTTGGCGACCAGAACTTCATAGAATTGTACTACTTTTGGTCTTAATTATAAGAGTTAGTTGACTAATTTGAGGAGATTAAAGAAAAAAATTAAATTTGTTATTTGTAATAAATAGATATTGTTTTTTCTAAAATATCCTTGCTAATCAAGTATATTGGTTGGAATTACTATTATTAAAAGGACTACATTAAGAAAAATGCATAAATATGAGAGACAAAGTGAATTGAGGTATTATATTTAAGATAAAAATAAAAGTTAAACAAAATCTTATATTAAGGACCGGAGGTAGTAATAATAAATTATACAGAACATGATCTGGGAATGATAGAATTAATCCCAAATATTATTTTTGATAGGATCATTGGAAAGGATCGTAATGTTGCAAAACTCTCCTAATGAATATTTAAGGCAGCTACACGTTTTATTTTAATACTTCATGCGTGATGGGTTTTTTTTTTTACTTCTTATTAAAATTATAATAAATAAACAATTCAATAATAATATAAGATGGACAAAAATTAAGTAAAGAATCCTATAACTACTTGGAAAAATTATATATGATTTTGTACCTTTATTGAAAGTCATATACATAGTGCATGTAGATATTTTGGGAATATATACTCCTTTTAAAAATAACGAGTCTCTCAATAATGGTGGATATGCCTAATGTTGATTTCGTAGGTGCGGCCCACCAAACTGAATAAATTCGACCGTAACCAAAAGCAGAGATGGCCATGATTCTGTTCCAAACTTCCAATAGTACGATTCTAGCTCAAGTAGTTAAAATAAAAACTGACTAACTAATTAATTTAAATAGATTAAAAAAACTAATCAAGTTAGATATTTATAATAAATAGATGTTGTTTTTTTTTAAAATATCCTTACTAATATAGTGTATTGGCTAAAATTACTATTGTTATAAGAACTATTTTAAAAAAAGATAAATATGAGAGATAAAATGATTTAAGATCTTATATTTAAGATTAAAATAAAAAAATGAGTTATTTTATTAAGCACCCGAGATAGTAAGACAAACGAGGTTTTCAAAATATAAGATCAAGTGCTCCCCTTAATGCTTCATTATATATAGCTTTTATGCCAACGAAACACGAGTTTTTAATGTCTAATGTGAGAAGAGACAAAGATTGAGAATGCATCGTACTCCTTTCGATATTTATTATATGTCTAGATGCTTCATTAAATTTTTTTTTTAAAAAAAGTGGGTAAGTCATTAACTTTACAAAATAGAGAAGAAAAAAAAATCAAATTTGCCCATATTTAGTACCATGAATATCCAAAAAAAAATCATACAAGTTGTAATTAATGAAATTTTTAATAGGGCAAAAAGGGTAATCTCTGAACAATATCATTAATATCTCATTGGATAACTTATACTCCTCTTGTTCTTAATATAAGACATATTTAACTAATTTGATTAGATTAAGAAAATTAGACAAGTTAGTTAATTATAAGAAATATAATATGTTTTTTTCTAAAAATATCATAATCGTCTTCTTCAATATTTTTCTTCAATTTCTAACTTGATTATAGTTGAGAGAATATTGGTATAAGTAATTTAAAAGAAATTAATAAATATAATAAATAAGTCTTATATTTAAAATTAAGATTAACTCAACAATTAGGTATTATATTAAGGATCGAAAGAGTAATAAAAATAACATACTTCTTCTTAAAAAAATGTCTACTAATAAACATTAAAGGAAATATCTTTTAGCCTTTCTTTTCTGGCATTGTGAATTATGAATTTAGATACAGTTGCAATTAGTATTGAAACTTGATCAATGATTTTCTTTGATCTATGAGAGTAGTTAATAGGCCTTATAAAAATGACAAAAAGAATCAAAGAAGTATAAGATATCTTTGTAATAAAAGGGATTCATTAATATATATATTTATATATATAACATGAAGTATCTATGTCTTCCCATGTGTTTTTTCTTCTTCGCGAGAGAAATTATTTTTCTTTTGGAATATTATTTGTTCTTACACATGATTTAAAATAAAACAATATTTTATTAAGTAATGATTCAAATTCAACTCATTGAAAGACTAATAATATTTTTATATAATATGTTTTAGTTTAATCATAGATAATGATGACAATCATAATGAACATAAATTGATTAAAATATTTATTATAATAAAGCATGCTTCTAGTAATAAAATACATAACATGGAGCCTTTAAGGCCATAATTTTCATGAATTGACAAATTAAAATTAAGACTCAGAAAGAATCAAATAATAAAACACATAACATGGTGGGGATGCACTTGTCACGGACTTGAAAAATGTACACAACATTAAAAGAGAAGCACGCAAGGGGCTTAACCCAATAAAGTGTTAGACCAATTTAAGAAGGAAAAGGAAGTGGGAATCTCCTTTTGTGTATCCAATCAACTACTTATTTTAAAAAGTAATGCAGCCCCCCCCCCCCCCCAAGAAAAAAAAAAAAAAAAACCACATAACGAATATTAATGTCCTCCTCTTGCTTGAGGTGAATTTAATTTTATCAATGGTGATGATTGATTTTCATCGGAAGAGGTAGAAGTAAGGAAAAATTACAAATAAAAACTTCTCAATACATGAAATTATGATTTGATGCCCTCAATTTAGAAAATAATAGATAAAAACCCAATCCCATATTACAAATATGAAATCTTGATAAAATATTTGAATGCCTCTCAATCAAATTGTGATTTGATCTACTGAAGTTGTCATTCGCTAAAGTAAACTTGTCATTTCCTATAGTCAACTTATCATTTAGCATACCTTTAACTAAATTATAATTTGGTCTACTGAAATTGTCATTTGCTAAAGTGAACTTGTCATTTCTTTTAGTCAACTTATCATTTGCCTGAGAGGCATTTCAGACATTTTACTAAGATTTCATATTTACAATATGAGACCGAATCTTTATCTGCTATTTTTCAAATTGAGAGTTCTAAATTGCAATTTCACATATTAAGGAGTCTTTATTTGTAATTTTTTTCTAGAAGTAATCACAATCACATTTAATGTCCAACTATGTCTCAAACAAAATTATTTTTAATAGAAGCTTATACAGGAACAATAAAAAAAATGGTGATAATTGCATGGAGTGAAAGGACTTAATTTTCTCTAAACAAAGTCAAATGTTTAAATTTTTTGAATAAAAAATTATGTTAAATTTTTTTTAAACTAAATTCAACAATACTCAAACTAAATGAATGATAGATAGTCATATTAGAAAAAATTAAAATATTTCTTGAAAAAAAATTAATTTAAGGAAAATTACCATTAAACAATAGTTTAGGTCACTTTGACAGCAATTTTTTCAAATTTAATGATAGACACTAAAAATTTAATGATGAATTAAAAGCATGACAACAAAAGATCCCTACGGCACTAAACCAAAAAGATTAACATTTTTTCTTATAGTTTTGTGTTACCTGGCTACTTGAATATTAATTATTTATCATTTAATTAACTTTAAAAAAATGATAATGGCATCACTATGTTGCCATAAAGGTTATTAACCTTATGGACGGAGTCAATGAGGGTATTTCCATTTGTATGGCTTTCCTCTCATATTTTTCAAAGTGAATTTTATATCTTATAATAATTAAAAAATGCGAGAGTGTGACATCAATGAGTGAATATATGTGCCTGTTTGGCATCACTTATTTTGAGCTTATAAGTAGCTTATAAGCTCTATAAGCTCGATTGACACAACTGGATCTGTTTGGATTAGCTTTTTTACAATTGGACTTTTGTCTAAAAAGCTACAACAAGCTATAAGCTAAAATTAATAGCTTATGACTTATAGCTTAGGCTTATGGCTTTTGAAATATGGAGAGAGAAAAAGTTAAGACATTTATTACCTCTTTTGGTTCTTATTATAAGCCTCAAATAACTAATTTGTAGATAATAAAAAATCAGTTAAAATTAGTTGAAAGTAATGAATAAGTTAGAAATATATTTTTATTTTTAAATATGCTCCTAAAAATATACTTTTATTTTTTCATGTTTCACTTTATATTTAAAATATTTTTTATGACTTCTTCATATTAAATTATTTTAATTTCATTGTATTATGTGAAATTATTTTTTTAATCATGTTTCATTATTTATTAAAACTTATATCTATTTTGGTCATTTTACAACCAAACTTACTTTTACTCAATCATAATCCAAACAACCTTTTACCAATCTCACTTTTGCAATCTAGCTTTTCTAAACTCTAATCCAAACACAATTCAGCTTATCCAATTTAGTTTTTATCCAATTTTACTTTTCTATAAGTTACTTTTTTAATAAGCTACTTTTCTAATCGCTGATCCAAACGGACTCTTATAACGTTGCAACGTGAAGAGTGTAAAATGAAAGAATCACATTGATTTGACGGCCGCAAAAAAAATAAACAACACATCAATCAATAAACAGGATGCACGTACAACTGCTAATGCAAAATAAATAAATAAATCTGAGCCGTAGTTTTTTTTAATTGTTATTGATAATTTTTTAAATTAAACTTTTGAATTGCATGTTTTCCAAGGAATCGACTACGGTTTATACTAATGGTTGCAAAATTTATATTTAAAAACTATGGGCTAATCATGACTAGATAAACTGTGATTAGACGACAATTTGATCATGACATTTAAAGTATTATAAGATTTTTATTCTATTTAATATGATTATTTTAATCGTCCCTTAGTTACCTCTCAAAATTGTAAAGTGCCCAGATTTGGTGATAATTGAATTAAAAATATGGAATAAAAATATACAAATCACTAAAAACTATAGCTGCTTTCATTTTCCAGTCTCTTCTTAACATTTTCGGTCTCATTTATTTCTGTCATCTTGTGTCTTGTGTTATAAGCCTGTGTGAGAAGAGTCTAATGAGCAATATAGTCCAATTCCCATGCATGCTGGTCCAAATAAAAATAATAATAATAATAATAAAGAAAAGCTATTTTGCAGATACATAATTACATATACTTACTTTCTTTAATTTTCAATTTAATACATATGATGTTTGCTCTTTTTATTAAATTTTTTAATCTTGCTTTAATAGTACAGCTAGTCCTAAATTTTTTACTCTGCTAGCAGCGTTAACAAGGGAAGGATGCCGACAAAGCAAAATTAAAAGATTTAATAAAAGTTATAAAAAAAACCCTAATTTGGTATTCCTCCGGTCCTTAATATAAGACTTATTTAACTAATTTGATTAGATTAAGAAAATTAGGTAAGTTAGTTCATTATAAGAAAAGTGACGCATTTTTCCTAAAACACCATAATCATCTTTTTTAATACCCCATCTTTCTCTTCTACTTGATTATGGTTGAGAGAATATCCATGGGGATAATTTAGAGAAAATTAATAAATCTGAAAAATTGGTCTTATATTTAGAACCAAACCCAATTTAAGAATTAGGTCCTATATTAAAGACCGGAGGAGTATTAATCTTCTTCTAGGATCCTTAAATGTCATCCTCTCAATCCTATGCAATATATAGATATAAATGTCTGAACAATATCTGACTGAGATATAATTTGTTGCTTACCTGCCTCTTAATCTTGACCATGCAACCAAATCAAAACCAGCAGTCCAGCACCTTAAAATCCTCTTCTTCTACTAAGGAAGAAGCTTGAGTCGATCAAACATGAACATGATTCAAATCAAATAAACATGTTCTCTGAACTTTTGAAGTTCAAAAACGAGAGTGGTCCATGCACACATTTTGTCATGATACTTCTTATGTCCATAACTGGACAGGATTTTACCCTACCAACCGGTGACAAATGCAGCTCTTGTACATCAACACTAGAGAGATTCACCATAAGACTTGCACGGAAATTCTAGGACCACATACGCACATAACAATCATCAACACCAAAAAGGGACAAAAATGTAGAGAAGCCCACTATAGAAACTCATGTACTACGAAAGGTGGCTAGTTGAGCGGGAGAGCAAATAAGAATAGGTTTCTGACAACGGTTAAAATTGAAATGGTCATAGTAATAGGAAAGATAGCATGTAATGTAACCTACAAATAATGGTAGTCAATATGTTAAATTCCAGTTCTAATTATGCTATGAATCACTGAAATAAGAAGTGTCTCCTAGTGACCCCGAAAAAGTACTGGGAGACTTACCCGACATGGCAAGTACTTTTTAGAGCCTAGATGAGAGCACTAATGGAAATATAGACAGATAGAACAGCTCAACAACAATTACCCTTCTTCGCCAAATGGCTGAACCAAGAAGCATGATGATGAACCTTTGTTCCTCAAATGGTTAAAATTCCAACAACATTCTCCAATGTCAGAAAACAAAAGACGAAAACTGGTCAACTTAGTATGTCTACCTCAAGGTTTCAAAACCCCACATGATGATGACAAGCCATTAAGAAGCTAAGAAAACCATTAAAAAACAAACATGCACAACACCAACAAACTATGATCCATTTCATTAAACCTCTAGGAGAAATTAAAGGGAGTAAAGTACATGTTGATGTCTCCTCTCCCACGCTTTGATACAACTAACATTTTATCATAAGAAGGTCACAATTGTACCAAGATCCTATAATCTCTATCTCATTTCCCATATTACACTATAAATGCTGCAAAATCACTCCTCTGAACTCTATATCTCATTTTGTCTTCCCCATAACTTCTTCACAGCCATCCCTGCCTTTAGATAATTTACTAGGGGGAAAAAAAAGGTTAATTGTAACATATTAAGATAGCACATCATAGTACTTCACAAGTTATTTGACTCTAACTTGAATTCTCCATCCAGCGAAAACAGTTCATTGGTTCGATCTTGAAAACTATGACTAAAGCTACCTGGATCTCATGTTGGATCCTCCACCACCACCGTTTCCTTGGTTAAACCCACCAGAACCATACATCTGTCCCTGATGATGCCCTACTGTCATCCCACCGTACATACCCTCTGCGCCATTAAAACCAACAACCCCGCTTCCACCGGAGCCACCGTCCTTCTCGCGTGTTTCCCAAGGGAAGTCTTCTCTCCTTCCATCTCCCGGTACTTCTGTAGGTAAATCTTCAAGGGCTCCACATAATCCTCGAACCCTAAAGTGGTCATGGCCCACAGTAAATCGTCGCCGTTGATCGTCTTCCTCTTCTCTCTCTGGCACTTGTCCGACGCCTCCCCCGTCACGAAGCTTATGAACTCCGATACGCACTCCTGCACAGTCTCCTTCGCGTCCTTTGAGATCTTCGCGTTCCCCGGCAACGCCTTTTTCATTATCCTGCTCACGTTCGCTATCGGCAAGAACCTATCCTGTTCCTTCGTTGACAAATCGCAGTTCGCGTTGCCGCCGTTCCCCCCACCCGACTCGTTATCCGAATCCGCCATCAGATTCCAATCGCGGCCGATCCGGATCGCACTGTACTCCGATCGTCGGCGATGAGAACGCAGGAAAACGAAGAGCGAGAGGATGATGAAGGGATATGGGAAAAAGACCAAGGGTAAAACGGAGATTTCAGTGGGTGGCGGCGAATTAGGAGAATGCAACGGGGAAAGAGAGTGGACGGTGTTGCAGAGAACAGGAAGCAGGGGGAGGTATTGAGTCCGTTGGATCGTCGGGGTAATAATGAAGGGGGTTGGACGCGTGGCAGAATGTGAACCGCTAGTTTTTCCAGTGGGATGAGATCGCGTGGTGGAAGATAGACCGTTGGATTAAGCAGGACAGGCAGGATCTAGAGGGTCGGAAACGATACACGTGGTAGACATGGGGTGGTGTCGAGCATTTTTTGATTCTGTTCGTGGATTCTAGTGCTGGCTGCTTCGGCATTTAGCGGAGACATGTGCTGCAAAAGGTTGAATTACTTCGCTTTGTGTTTTGGGCCTTAGATCGTGGACATAAAATAGGAAAATTATTGTCGGAGATATTTATATTAAAAAATCAATTCTTAAAAGAGTTGAATTTCCTTAAATTTATTACGTCATATTACTTCCAATTTTTAATATAAGATCCTCTTTGATTTTTATTTTGATTCTGAATATAAGACCCCAATCTATTTTTTTTTATATTTATACATTTTTTTCAAAGTAGTCATTCTAACAATAATAGTTCTAGTCAATACACTTGATTAGTAAAGATGTTTTAAAAAAGACAACACCTATTTAAGACAAATAACTAACTCAACTTACCTTTTTAATCTCTTCAAATTAGTCAAATGGCTCTTATAATTAGGACCGGAGGTAGTATTTCCTAATAACACATGACTATGTGTCTTTTTTTAATATTTTATTTAATTATAAATTCACATAAAAAAACAGAATTTATATGATTGAAAAACTTGACATAATAAATATAAATAATTTTATATAATTATTTTTCTTACATTTAAGTAATAAAATTCTCATGACACAATATTAGTAATTTAGTAAATAGATTTTAAAATTTAAATTATTTCACACTAAGGGAGTGTTTAGATGAAACCAAACCATGGTTTGGAGAATAGTTTCTGGAGAATAGATTCTGGAAAAAATAGATTTTGTGAAAAAGTGATTCTAAAAATGAGAGTGTTTGGATAGTTGTTATCAGAAGAACTTTTTTTATATACAAATTTTACTAAAAAAGCATAAGTTAATATGATAATTACATAAAGAATAGATTTTATAATATATTTTAATTTGAAAAGATAAAATTGTTAATAATATATTTTTTACCAACATAATTAATAATATAAAATAATATAATTAATATGTATATATATTTATAAAATATAAGATTAAATATGTTTATAAAAAAATAATTGAGAAATATTAAAATCATATTATCGTTGAGATCCACTCTATAGGCACAATTATACTCTCCCATTTGAGCCAGAAGTAGAATAAATTCACTTCTTCTGAAGCCATGGTTTTGACCCAAAACCATGGTTTCTGTTTTTTTCTGGGTGTTTGGTAAGTCTGGGACTCAAACCATAGTTTTCTATGCTATCTAAACAGGCTCTAAGATTTAAGTAACAAAGTGATAGCATGGCCACCAATGAGAGTTAGTGTCATGAATATAATGCTGTGTGGATGCCTGTACATTTTTTTTTACCAGATCAGCAGGCTCTCCGACTTTACTCGAGTCGAGGAGAGAAATAAGAAAAAATTGTAATTAGGTTCTATGTAAAAAATTAAATACAAAAAAATCTCTTAAAATTATTAAATTATTTTGAAATCTCAAAAGACTTTATTATAATAAATTTTAATTTTTTAATTACTATTTTTTTTTTAAATTTGTATCGACAACTGAAAGAGTAGGTCGCGATAGTTGTCAATCATTATATTTTAAGTTGTCAACCACTACTCTTTTAGTTGTCAATGTAAACTTAAAAAAACATAATAAATCAATTTGATAATAAAAAATAAAATTTATTACAAAAAAAATTTCTTAAGATTTCAAAATAATTTTATAATTTTAAGAAGATCTTTTTTTATTTAATTTCCTTAAATACGACCTAATTGTAATTTTCTTGACAAATAAACAGCCTAACAAAAGGGAGACCCACGTACTAAACGTGGAGCCTACTCCTTCACCCCAAAAAAAAAAGGGGTGGAGCCCACTAATATGTTTGGAATATTTGACTAGAAATTAAATTATGATTTTAAAAACAATTTTATAATATGTAAAATAAATATATATATGAAAATTTTTGTCTTAATTTATATACAAATATTTTTTACAAGTATTTTTTGGTCTAATCAAACACGCCATAAGATCTAACTTCGATCTCATTCTCCATTTTTTTTTCCCCAAAAAAAAAACAACACTTGAAAGCCTCCCACCTCAAATTATTCGTACTCATGCTCTAATCGGAATAAACAACCCGAAGGTCAAAGTGGAAGAAAAACACACAGGGTACACAATATTTCCCTGGCCAGTTGTCAGTTTGAATTTTTAACGAAAGTATAATATCCATTGATTCTATGTTGACGTTGACAGAGAAAAAAAAAAGGAATTTGGGAATTACTAAATTCCAAATCAGCTACGTTCCTTACGTTTTAACAAGTTTTGACTACATTGATTTAAAAATGATAACACATTTTTATAGAAATTTCTTATTTAGAATTATATAATTTTTATCTTTTTTTTCTGTCATTCTTCCAAAACAAATTGTACAGAGTATTGACAATTGGAGAATTCAACAAGACTAAAGTTCTGGTAAAAAAAAAAAAAAAACACGAGGCTGAACGAAGCAAGCAAGCAACAATGAGAATCCATCTTAACTACACAGCAACAAACAGCATCGAGGAAAAGATTACTCTCATCCTGGATTGCCCTCAAAGAGAGGGTCGGGAATCATACCAAAGAAAGACGCTCCTGCTTGCGGGTTTTCATTATCTCTTCGCACTGATATTAGGCTCTCCATGTACACAACAGCCTGCAAAGAATCTTCCTCACCGTGAAATCCAGTATGTATGATTTCTTCAGTTTGGAGATCATAAATCATCATCCTACCATCGTTATCTTCCACAAGAAATAGGTTCTTTTCTTCCAAGAATCCCAGTGGCCGTCTAGCTCCTACAATGGGTCCAATGTTGGCGTGCTTAGTCCAAGACCCTTTATTGCCATAATCTTTCATCATCCACAAATCAAAGCCCTTCTCTGTTCCCCTTCTAGGATATACAATCACGGTCAGAGATTCCCTAAACTTAGCAACAGTTCCAGCATACTCCCGGGTAGAAAAACGTGCGTTTGGCACCCTGAATGTTTGGAATGTTTCATTCACCATGTCAAATGCAAGAATTAAATCACCAGCGGCATCATAAGCCCACCAGTGAAATGCTCCGCGAACAAAAGCATCAATCCAAGAACAATTCCTAATAGAAAGAGGTGGTAGAGGGCAATCAACATTCCTCCAAGAATGAGAATTCAGAGAGTACATCTCTACGCGCCAGGGCAATTGTTCATCTGTTTCATTACGCCAAGTGTCCATGATCGTCACCACCTTGTAATCATTGGTTTCGGGATCAAATCCAAACCCAACATGTTCCATCTTGGAGTGAGTGTCAGGTGGGGCTGGTGTATCTGGAAGAATTCTGAATTCCCTCATTGACGGGTTGACAATCATGCTAGTACTGCTAAAGAGACAATATAAGCCATTGCAAGGACCTAAAATTTCAATATGGTTAACTTCATCATGGTTATAGATTAAATCCAGCAAATTGAGAACGGCACTGCTGTTCGCTCGGTTAAAAGACAGAAGAGAAACAGAAGCTTCTCGGTCATCGCCATAAGGACCAAAAGGGGCACGCCTAGTTCGCTTGACAAGAAGATTAATAGGATCTGTCGACTTCATGTGGTTGTTGAAGGTGTGAAGGTGTTTGGAAATAAAATCAGGGCTTTTGATTAGGCGGTACCAGGATTTATTAATGCATGCCAATCGCCTTAAAGATTTCACCGGCAACCTTGAAAGAATGTCAGGCATCACATCTTTCAAACGATCTACGTTTTGTGCCATTATTGTAGTTCCTTTTCCTTTTTTAGCAAACCTAAAAGTCTTCTTATCAACAAGTTTTGTCTTACTGATATTAAAGCTGTCTTCTAAGACAGAACCAATCCAAGTTCTCAATCTGGGCTCAAATCAACCAAAGCCAGAATCTTCTTTATCTAGAGACGCGACTTCTGCAGCAGGTAATATTCGTGGAAGTTACAACAAAGTACTTGAAACTGATTTAATCATTATGCTGGAGCTCAAAACAAGAGAAAACAAGGCAGTACAGAGAAGTGAACCACAACAACAAATTAGTTTTCTTAAAAAGTAAATATAAAATCGTCAGTCACTCTTGCAGATGAGGGGATTAAAATGTTGATCCAAAAGGCACTACACGTTTGCAATTAACAAGTTAGCAGGCAATAAAAAAATAGTTTTTTGTGTGTTAGCGCGTGCTCCAATGCATGAAAACTTCATCTAGTAGGTCTCAACAGCACTGTTTAATAGTTTTGCACTGTTTGTCACTTGTGAAAAGGCCGATGAATGTTGTTTATATAAATTTGCAGCAGTGATTTATGACAGTTGAATACCTAGTACCAATCCAGGAGCCTTTTTTTTCAGAGGAAAAAAAAAATTATCGAACTTAAGTCCCAACACATGAAATTAAAGATGATCTGATTCCCTATCAGGGTCGAATTCTAATTTGACTGTACCAAAAGCATTGAAAGGTTAATCGGTAAAATCAACACTGAAACATCACAAATTTTGGTCTCCACAATAAGATGAAGTTGAATACCTGTAAAGTTAACAGATGGAGTAGTGGGACGAAGGCAAGCGAGAGCGGGAAGTTCGCTTCAGAGCCGAGAATGACAGAAAGGATAACAGCAAATTGTGTGAGAGCGGAACTGTGGTTGAAAGGTGAGCCTACTGATAAATGGGGCCCAGCCGAGCGCATCGCAATAAGCAGGAAGAGGAGAAAATGCTGTAAATACCCAGACAACCCCTAAGAGTTTCTTGCGTATGTGTCCTATTTTTAATATATTATTATTTAATTATAATTATAAATATACATAAAAAAAATAGAACATATAATCTAGGTGATTGGATAACTTAAAGCATTTACTTTTCTGGTTAGAGACCAACATCCAGTAAGCTGATATAAGAAGAATAGTGACAATTAGTATATAGATTTAAAAATGATTTTAAAATTTAAATTATTTCACACTAATATCTTTAGATTAAGAGTATCTTTAATTATATTTATATAACATATTTTAGCTAGTAATCACAGATTTCATTAATAATTTATAAATCATAAGGGTATTTCCAAGGGGATCACTAAATATGTTCAATCAATCTTTCAATTTTCAATGGACTTACTAAAATATTAATACTACCTCCGGTCTTTAATATAAGACTTCATTTAACTTTTATTTTGGTCCTAAATATAAGACATCAATCCATTTTGTCTCTCATATTTATATATTTGTCTCTCATATTTATATATTTTTTTAAGATAACAATTCTAATGGTTGTAGTCCTAGTCAATACACTTAATTAGTAAGAATATTTTAGAAAAGACAACATCTATTTATGATAAATAACTAATTTAACTTATTTTCTTAACCTTCTCAAATTAGTCAACTAGCTGTTATAATTATAATCAGAGTTAGTATTTAAGCAACAAAGTGACAACATGGCCAACAATGAAACGAGTTGAGAAGAGGAGTGTCATGCATATAATGCTGTGTGGATGTCTGTGCATTTTTTTAACTGATCAGCCGGGTTCTCTGACTTTGCGTGAGTTGGGGAGGGAAATAAACACAAGGATGGATCCCAAAAAAAAAAAAAAACAAGACCCACATATTCTTCAATTTTCATCTTTCTTACCAACCCGGTTGGGTTTAGGAACCAATCCCTCACGACATGATGAACTAAGGTTCGAATCCCTAATAAGAGAGGTGTCTATATTTAGTGTCTAACAATATCTTGAATAGGATTGTATCTAATAGGAGGATACCTATGTTTTAACAAAAAAATATTTTCTTTTTTCTTTTTTTCTTTTTTTTTTTGGAAAAAACCACTTGGAATCCTCACACCTCAAAAGTTCAAATTGTTCATATTTCATGCTCTAATCGGAATAACAACCCCAAGGTCAAAGTGGAAGAAAAACACACACACAAAAAAGAGGAAAAAAATATCAAAGAAAAGAAGAACGTAGAGAGCGTGGCATATTTTCCCCAGCAACTTGTCAGTTCGCGTTAAGTAATGAGATTGCAAAAACTATAAAGTGTGGTTCTTGATAAATGAAGTACAAGAATCCTTTTAAAATTAGTCAAATTCCTCCCTTAAGAGATTAACTAACAACCCAAAAGCTTTTGAGATTAAAGAGGGAGATCCAAATTATCCTCTTTCTCATTAATGAGGATAACATTTCCTACAGACTCTAAACACATCATACCAAACCTTTTATATAGGCTTATCTCACTTAGCTAATGACTCAATTATCCTCTCTAGAACATATGGAATTTTTAAAGAAAGTAAATATCCATTAATCATACTACCTCTTGTGTTTAATATAAAAATTAAATAACTAATTTATAAATATTAAAAAAATTAATTACTTATAATAAATAGGTATTATTATTTTTAAATATCTTTATTAATAATATGTATTAGAATTTTGGCCAAAAAAGGACTAATTTGTAGGCCAAAAAACCTACGGAAACTACTTTGAGAAAAATATTAATAATATGCATTAAAATTTTGGCCAAAAAACCTATAAAAACTATTTTGAGAAAAATAAATAAATATAAAAGACATATTAAATTGAGATATTATATTTAAGAGTAAATTGAATTTTTAACTAATTTTTATATTTAAGATGGGCAAATGCTAGCAAATTTAACCACAAAAAAAAGAAAACGCAAGCAGCAAGGAGAGTCAATCTCAACCATCCATTTATAATTAACTTATTTCTGTCACCTATCACTTTATTTTGTTCACAGACACCCATTTTCACTTTTTGTGAGGGCATACAATAATTAAATGTATATATAACAAGCTTCATATGCAATTAAAAATACATAAGCCCCTGAAAAATCGATGGATTTAAGTCCTTCTATGAAAATCTTCCTTAAATACAGGCATATGGGGGGCTAGTTATATCAAGAAGTCAGAAGTACACTCTCTCCTGGTCAAACAAAAAAAAAAGGTTCACTCTTTCACTTGCATTACATAGTACATAACTTAATGCTTACTAGAAAGAGCACAAAGCAACAAACAACATGGAGGAAAACATTACTCTCATCCTGAATTGCCCTCAAAGAGAGGGTCGGGAATCATACCAAAGAAAGACGCTCCTGCTTGCGGGTTTTCATTATCTCCTCGCACCGATATTAGGCTCTCCATGTACACAACAGCCTGTAAAGAATCTTCCTCACCATGAAATCCAGTATGCATGATTTCTTCAGTTTGGAGATCATAGAACACCATCCTACCATTGTTATCTTCCAAAAGAAATAGGTTCTTTTCTTCCAAGAATCCCAGTGGCCGTCCAGCTCCTACAATGGGTCCAATAATGGAGTGCTTAGTCCAAGACCCTTCATTGCCATAATCCTCCATCACCCACAAATCAAAGCACTTCTCTGTTCCCCTTCTAGGATATACAATCACGGCCAGAGAATCCCTAAACTTAGCAACAGTTCCAACATACTCCCGGCTAGAAGGACGTGCATTTGGCACCCTGAATGTTTGGAATGTTTCATTCACCATGTCAAATGCAAGAACTAAATCACCAGCAGCATCATAAGCCCACCAGTGAAATGCTCCGTGAACAAAAGCATCAATCCAAGAACAATTCCAGATAGAAACAGGAGGTAGAAGGCAATCAACATTCCTCCAACAATGAGAATTCAGAGAGTATATCTCTATGCGCCAGGGCAATTGTTCATCTGTTTCGTTAAGCCATGTGTCCATGATCACAACCACCTTGTAATCATTGGTTTTGGGATCAAATCCAAACCCATTATGACGTTGCAAGGAGTAAGTGTCAGGTGGGGCTGGACTATCTGGAAGAATTCTGAATTCTCTCATTGACGGGTTGACAATCATAATAGGAATGCTATAGAGACAATATAAGCCATTGCAAGGACCTAAAATTTCAATATGGTTAACTTCATCATGGTTATAGATTAAATCCAGCAAATTGAGAATGGTACTGCTGTTCGCTCGGTTAAAAGACAGAAGAGAAACAAAAGCTTTTCGGTCAACGCCAGAAGGACCAAAAGTGGCGCGCCTAGTTCGCTTGACAAGAAGATTAATAGGATCTGTCAACTTCATGTGGTTGTTGAAGGTATGAAGGTGTTTGGAAATAAAATCAGGGCTTTTGATAAGGCGGTACCAAGATTTATTAACGCATGCCAATCGCCTTAAAGATTTCACTGGCAACCTTGAAAGGATGTCAGGCACCACATCTTTCAAACGATCTAGGTTTTGTGCCATTATTGTAGTTTCTTTCCCCTTTCTAGCAAATTTAAAAGTCTTCTTATCAACAAGATCTGACTTGCTGATAATTAAAGCTTTCTTCTAAGACAGAGCCAATCCAAGTTCACAATCTGAGCTCAAATCAACCAAGGCCAGGATCTTCTTTATCTAGAGACGCGATGGAAAAAGCTGCTGCAGCAGGTAATATTCGTGGAAGTGACAACAAAGTACTTGAAAACTGATTTAATCATTATGCTGGAGCTCAAAACAAGAGAAAACAAGGCAATACGGAGAAGTGCGTAACAAACACGAACTGGTATATAGAATTCGCCATTTCAGAAAGTTTTATCCATGAATAACCATCTCATCAATTCCAATTGAATAGACATGAACAGCCGACAAAACTAGTAATTAACCATAACAACAAATTAATTTTCTTAAAAACTAAATATAAAATCGTCAGTCACTAGGGGATTAAAATGTCGATCCAAAAGGCACTACAAGTTTGCAATTAACAAAATAGCATGCAATTAAAAAATATATTATTAGATCTTGATTAACAATTGTGTGCGCGCGCTCCTGTGCAGGAGTGCAGGAAAACTTCATCTAATAGTTCTCCACTGCACTGTTTATGACTTGTGAGAAGGCCAAGGAATGTTGTTTATATAAACTTGCAGTAGTGATTTATGAAAGTTGAATACCTATTACCAACTCAGAAGCTTTTTTTTTTTTTGAGAGAAAAAAATTATCGAACTCAAGTATGAACGCATCTGAACTTACAGGTGATCTGATTCCCTATCAGAGTCTAATGCTAATTCCACTGTATCAAAAGCATCGAAAGGTTCATCGGTAAAATCAACACTGAAACATCACAAATTTTGATCTGCACAATAAGATGAAGTTGAATACCTGTAAAGTTAATTGGTGGGGTAGTGGGACGAAGGCAGGCGAGAGCGAGAAGTTCCCTTCAGAGCCGAGAATGGCAGAAAGGATCGAACGGCAAATAAGCGTGAGAGTGGAAGGGAGGTTGGAAGGTGAGCAAACTGACAACACGGTCTCGGATTCCCTCCAACTGATTTATGAGTCCGAGTCGAGAGCATAGCAGGAAGCAGCGAGAAGGAAGAAGAGAGGATTTGTGTGTCTTTTCATTTTTGTTTCCCTCAGTCTCTCTCTCCAGATCCAGTTCCGGATCAGATGTGCGACGACCCGGCTATGCCACGTATGGACGTTTGATTTGATGATGCAAAAAACTGCAAAACTGAAATTGTTACTCCGTCACACAGATAAAAAAAAATTTAAATTTTATTAACTTTTATTTAAAATTTAATAACTTTTTAATTTTATTTTTATTAAATATACATTATACCCTATATAAACAAAATCAACACAATAATAAATTATGAATCAAATTATACATTCATACAAAAAATTTCTCTCAATACCTTATAAATAAGACTAAAAAATATCTTCTCTCTTTGTCCTATAAATAGAGTCAGAAGAGTATATGCAAAGATTCATTCAGAGTTTATCCTCAGCTATTTTTTAGGTGTGACCCAAAGGGAATTCAATTTAGCAAAGAAAAGTACTCAGGATTACCTCAACATAAGAATATATATGTTTATAAAAAAAAAATATTTTTCAGATGTATTTAATATTTTAAAATATTTTATAATTTACCATGTATAATAGGGGTGTGCATGGACTAGACTGGACCGGGTTTGTTATTAACCCGAAGTCTGGTCTAGTAAAGACCTCGGGCTGAAAAAAACAGCCCGAGGTCTGGTCCAGTCCAGTGCCAACCCGAGGTCGGGTTGGACTGGACTTGGTCCTCTGGACTGCCTGGACCAGTCCAGGCAGTCCAGAGCTAATTTTAATTTTTTTTTAAAATTTTTTTCTTCAATAGGAGGCAAGATTGTAACTTACTATATAAAATTTTACACATATTTTAATTCAAAATTTATCAAATTTGATCATTCCTTTTCAATTTCCCAATGAAGTCATGTTTTATTAATTAATTCTCATCAATATAGATCTTAAATTGTAGAAAAATATATATGCATGCTCATTACTTTGAAAGTTAATAGATAAATCTTAATTATTTGAATAGATAAAAAATTTATATAGAAAAATTAAATCAAATTAAAATTATATAAATAATAATTTAAAAAAATCGGGCTAGACTGGACTGGACCAACTGGTCTGAGGGGTCAGTCCCTAGTCCAGTCCAGCCCGATGAGACCAGTCCGGTCCAGTCTGGTCCAGTCTTGTTTCGGGCCAATTTTTTTTGGACCGGACTGGACCGGGTTTGTTCGGGTTGGACCGGACCATATCGGACCACCGGGTTTTTGCATAGCCCTAATGTATAATGTATTATACAATATTTTGTGATGCAATTTTATTTTTAAAATATTAATTTCTAAGTATTAATTTTACCCCTAAAGCACCACATAATATCTTTTAGTATGTTGTAAAGTGTTATAAGTATCTGAAAAAAATATTTTAAAGTTGTGGATGAACCCCGATATATTTTATAGTGCTGGAAGTATATGAAAAAAATTTTTCAATATATTGAATTAACTTTATATTTAATTGTAACTTATATGTACATATTTAATTATGTTGACATTAGTGTAGAATTTATAATCGGCATTTATCATCAAATTGTAACATGTCATTATTTTTTTCTCTGGTTTTCTTTGATTTTGTTTTCTGGGACCAATGAGGATGGTTCCTCAATTGACAGGAACGTCCAATTTTCACACCAAAAGTCCAAAACAATCCTCACCTAAGGAACGTTCATGCGATCGTGCATCTCGTGGTCGTCCTTCATGGCGTGATGCGCGTGGCTATTTTTAATTATTATTGTTATTATATTTTTGGAACATTTGGAATAGAAAAAATTACAAAAAAGAGACCTTAAAAATTGTAAGATCGCAAATCAAGACCCATTACAAGACTTGTATAGGTTTGGGCAAGAATCCAATAGTGAATGATAACAGATTTTTAACAAAATACCTTATCTGTAATTTTATAATTTTCATGATTTTTTTTGCGAATGAATTAAAAAAAAATCCCACTTCTTGAAATATTGGGCCTAAAATAGGATCTTTTCAGCCCAAAGTTTGGACCACCTTAGAACAGTTTCATTTCGTTGGGCCCAAAGAGACATCAAATAAGTAAGAAGGCTATAATCAATTATATTATTTAATATTATTTTTGCATTTTTTCTTTAAAAATTCATTAAAAATACACACACACATATAGATATATATGACCAGATTTAAAACATAATTTGATTATTAATGATATATTAATAAATACTTTTTCGGTACTTAATATAAGACCTATTTAACTAATTTGATTAGGTGTAAAAAGTTAGGTAAGTTAATTAATTATAATAAATACAATATATTTTTTCTAAAATACCATAATCATCTTTCTTAATATCTTCCTTCTTATTTGATTATGGTTGAGGGAGTATTAATAAGAATAATTTAGAAAAAACTGATAAATATGAGAAATATGTTTTATATTTAGGCCTATGATCAACTTAATAATTAAGTCCTATATTAAAGATTGGAAAAGTATCATTTATTATATTTTGATTTAAAAGAATTCACTAAAAAGTACATATAAAAGATAAGTTTATAAATAAATAGCAGTTTTTTGGGGAATACAAAGGAAGGCTAGAAGCCCAACAATTAAACAATTGGGTCAAATACCACTAGATCCATTGTGTGTAAGAAACCCAATTAACATTTTTGAGTTTTGCAAATAACAAAATCTCACTTTCAGAGTTTATTTTTTAAAATTGATGATTTGACACAACTTAAATCGAGATTAATAGCTATTCTCAATAAAAAGATAATTCTATGTAGACTCAAATGAGGAAAAAAAATTGTTTTGGCTACATGTCGTCTAAATACAACACTTGTTATTAATAAAATGGGATTAAGTTTAAAAGATAAAACAAATAAAGGAACTCTGTTGCCCACAAGTGAATAATGCCCAAGCCGTTAGTTGTCTTGTTGGCTTGTTCCAAACATTCAGAACTTTATCAAATCTTCTCTTTTAAACTGAACTCAATTTCTAACTTTTGACCATTTTTCCTTAAACCCATGACAAAGAAAAGAATCAACTCACCTTTCTTTTAAAAAGCATTACATTTAAGAAATAAAATTTAGATAAAAATTATGTAAAAGCTGCAACTATTTTTATGACAAGAAAACCACTATTAAGAAAAAATTACTTTTAAAGCAAGTTTAGCAATAAGTTCTTAACACTAATAATAACAAAGTCTTTAGCCAATGGCCTTGTAGTTTAGTGGTATGTAAGCTTCTCTCGTAAGTGGAAGATCGCGAGTTCAATCCTGTTGTAACTTCAGGACGTTAGTGCCTGTTCCTTTAATTTAAAATTAAAAAAAGTAACAATTTTCTTATAACTTAATACTAATAATTTTATAATAATTTGGAGTAATTAGAATTTTAAAGATATCTTAATACAACTTTTGTGATGTTTAAACTTTTAGATGTAATTTTTGCTTTAGTGTAAGACACACTTGACATGTACGTATCAGTTTTCACTTTTCACATGATCATTTTAGTTTGCTCTTCAGTACTGTTCTGTAGCCTGTAGGACCAGCCCTCTGTCATTTCATGTACTTTATTCCAAGTTGGTTCTAATTTGATGGCTCCTTCCTATGAACATTTGTCCCACAATTTAATTATATTCTTATCCAAACAATGAAGGCAATATTTAAATGTTCCCACAAATATTTAGAGTAAAAGATATTATATAAAAAGAGAATTACAACTAAGTCTCACAAAGAAAATAATTACCAAAAGTCCCAATAATAACCTCAATAACTTATAATAACAAGTTCTATAATGAGAATGACAATTTTTGGAACGTGTTTTTTTAATTTTTTTTCTTACTGAGACTTCATTATATTTTCTCTTATATAAAACCAAAATAATATTTTAAAACATAAAGTGGGCAATAAAACCGTCGGTGGGCAGAACTCAAAACTGAAACTGAAATTCTTAATTATAAATTCCATGTCATGGTTAGTGGCCAGCTAGCAAATTTTGTTTTGTACTCAAAATCTAACTGCTCTAACTTCTCTCTCTCTATATATAGATTAATATAATCTTTACTCTTTTAAATTTATCCTTATTTTGGTTTTAGTCATTGAAGTTTCAAATCATAAGTTTTAGTTATTTAAGAGGCAAAATACTTCAAATTTTTATTGGATTATTGGGACCAATATTTTAAATAAAATGAAACTTGAAGAACCAAAATATATAGTTTGAAACTTGAAGGATCAAAACCAAAATAACAACAAATTTAAAAGACAAAAAATTATATTAATCCTATTTTTTAAATTAAAAAAAAGGCCATAACCAAACCTCAATTATAATCCCACACTTATTATAAACACACTAATCTCTCCTTCTTCCCTTCACGCATTCCACCATGAAGCTTTTCACTACCACTTTCTCTGGTTTTTTCCTTCACCCTCTTCCTCCTCCTTCTACTTCCCTCCACTTCTCGTGCCCACAACATCACCACCATCCTGGCCAAACACCCTGAATTCTCCACCTTCAACCACTACCTCTCTGCCACCCACCTTGCCGCTGAGATCAACCGTCGCCAGACCATCACCGTCCTGGCCCTCGACAATGCCGCCATGTCATCCCTCCTTGAGAAACACCTATCCATCTCCACTCTCAAAAACGTCCTCTCCCTCCATGTCTTGGTCGATTACTTTGGCGCCAAGAAACTCCACCAGATCACTAATGGCACCACTTTAGCTTCCTCCATGTTCCAGGCCACCGGTGCGGCTGCCGGAACTTCCGGTTACGTCAACATCACTAACCTCAAAGGTGGGAAAGTGGGTTTTGGAGCTGATAACACAGACGGCGGCGCTCTTCATTCGTTTTATGTGAAATCTGTGGATGAATTGCCGTACAACATCTCTATTTTGCAGATAAGCCAAGGTCTCTCTTCTGCTGATGCCGAAGCTCCAACCGCTGCGCCGAGCCAGGTCAATCTAACCTCAACCATGGCTAAACAAGGCTGCAAAGCATTCGCTGATCTGTTGAAGGCTTCCAAGGCGCTTTCTACTTTCGAGGAAAACATTGATGGTGGTTTGACTGTGTTTTGTCCAACCGACAACGTTGTCAAAGGTTTCTTACCAAAGTACAGGAATCTAACAGATGCAGATAAAGTGGCATTGCTGTTGTATCATGGGATTCCTGTGTATGAATCCTTACAGATGTTGAAATCCAATAATGGGATTGTCAACACTTTGGCCACCGGAGGAGCAAACAAGTATGATTTCACAGTGCAGGATGATGGTGAGGTTGTGAGGTTGGAAACAAAAGTTGTGACGGCAAAAATAGTAGGGACATTGATAGACCAAGATCCTTTGGTTGTGTATAAGATTAACAAGGTATTGTTGCCCAGAGAGCTGTTTAAGGAAACTCTCGCACCTGCAGAATCACCTGAGCCAGCAAAGAAGAAGAAGAAGGGAGATGCGTCGGCTGACTCGCCGGATGCCGATGCGCCGGAGGATGATGTGGAATCAGATAAGGCTGATGATAGTAACGGGGCAAGTGGGTTACGTGAAGGGGTCAAATTCTTCATGGTTTTGTTGTGTTTGGCTATGGGGGTTTTGTCTCTGTGATTGCATATTGAAAAGGCAGATGCTTCTCAGCTCTAAGGTCATATGCGTGATTTGATTTAATTTGTGAATTAAAAAAAAAAAAACAACGAAACCCACATGATGGATTGGATTATTATTGGAGATCAAAGGTGGTCTGTCTTTTTCTTTCTATTTTTTTAATGGTTTTTCATTTGTTGATATATTCATTTGTAGCTTATCAGATTTGTCATTTTCGTTGCGGATGGATAGAATCCAGGTTGTAACTTCAATTTGACAGATATTAATGGTTGCTTTTTCTCAAACGATCCATGAGATTCTGCATTATTTGATGCCAATATTTAAATGATTTGTTATGATATGCTTATATGTAATGCAATTATTACAAGGTAATGGATTAAATAATCTTGATTGATTCCCCAACAAGTTTAATCTCAAAGGTTTCAAACGTACTTCAATGCATCGATTCCACTCAATCTACGCGATCTACGGGATAAATAGTTTTCATATTAATAAGCTTTAATGCTTCAATTTATTATGATGTAAGCAAGCCCATTTATGTCACAAAAAATCAAAGAGGAGAACAGGTCTGCTTCTACCGAATGAACCAGTGAGTGAGTGAGGCTTGAGGCTTCTTCAATGAAGAGGCTTTTAGCTGTTTAACGAGACAATAACCAGAACATGATCAAGGGGGTATTTGGCGTTTGAGAAAAACACTTTTAAAAAGTATTTTTTCACAAATCAAGTGAACTCCTCTGCATATTCACTTCGTATACCTTCGCTTTTTAATACAAAAACTAATTAGAAATTTAATTTTATTCTAAATGTAAGATTTTAATTTACTATATCACTAATATTTTTTCATTTTGCTCTCAAGTAATTCCTATCTTGATTGCACATATTGAGGAGTTTCCATAAGAGGCATTTTTATCCCGCATTATCAATAAAATATTTTAAAAAGGCAATATGTTCAGACAAGATATATTTATTATAAATATAACTAATTTACCTTTTTTTTTTAATAATCCGCATATTAGTTTTCTAATTCTTATATAATACTATTTTTGGTCCTAATTATAAGACTTTATTTATAGTCTGCAAACGAGGTCTTATAATTAGAATTAGATGTGGTAAAATTTAAGGAAAATGTGGGAGTCCGATATCAAGCATAAACTTTCAACTTCAAGTCATTGTGGCAACTTCATTTCAACACACAAGCACTATCCAAAGTGGACTAATATGTCACACCACACACCAAACTTTCCTAGCTAAGATCACATCCCAATTACCATTATGCTGCCACCACGACCCTATACATTCACAACACGACGCAATTTTACACACATGAAACTCAGAGAGGAGTGAAAAAGAAAATGTCATCAAGACGATCATTACTCGGCGAATTCCCTCCATACACCAACAATCCCTCTTTGCCATCCCTCCGACCACCGGCAAATGCACACCACCCCCGAGGTCCTGGATGGCCACCGGAATCCGGCTTATCGTCCAATCGTTTCCATGCCAATGTACTTGTGTCCAAGGCATAAACCTGGCCGGAAAACTTGCCGGCGCCCAAGTGACCCTGGTCACTAGGATCTATCTCACCGCCATATATGAATATGTGTTCCCCAACGGCAACACTAGAGAAGACGCTGCGAGCAGTGGGCTTCTCACCAGTTGTTTCCACCTGGGCCCAGCTCTTTTGGGCCAGATCAAAACAATGCACATCATCGGCTTCGTCCCCCGTAAACCCATAAACAACCCATATTTTTCCTTGGGCCTCAGCAAGCCCAGGCCCACCTCTCCCCTTGCAATTTTCCCCAGCTGAGGGAAGTTGTGCCCACTTGTCCTCAACAACATCAAATGCCCACAGATCATTGAGCCTGCCGGAGACACCACAGCCACCGAAGATATAAACATGCCGGTCATCGGCGGTGATTGAGTGGTAACTCCGGTGAGGTGGTCCGGCGTCTCCGCTCGAAATTAAGGCCCACTTGTTAGTCTTCGTATCAAAAGAATACAGCTCATTCAGCTCTTTGTGCTCAGCATCCCTACCGCCAAACACATAGATTGTATCTCCGATCGCGGCCATTGTAACGCCGACGCGCGGCGGTGGGATGTCGCCGGAAACTTCAGCCACAGTCCATGTCAGAGTTTCAAGATCGAAGACGTGGAGCTTGTTATCCACAGGAACACGAGGCGTGAATTCACCCCCAAATGCATACACCTTCTGTCCTACTATGGCAATTGCATGTGAGCTTCTTGCCCCAGGCCCTGTTCCATTCTGCTCTAGCTGGTGGAAAATACCCAAGAAAAAAATTATGCAACATAAATTCTGAAGTAATTTCTTTTTTCCCCTCAAAATTCTGACGACATGATATAAGTTCATACTTGAACAGGTACTATGCAGAACAGAGCAAAGGGATAGCTTGAAATTGTTGATGATAGGGACAAATATCAGGAAAATTTTCATATTAGAAATGAAGTTAACAGTGAAACTATCAATAGAGGGCTTTTCATTAAAAGTAAGAATACCTGATTTTCACATGAAATCCCTGTCCTATCTTCTACTCTCAATTACTTAGAATGATGGATTGATTGTGCCATGAAAAAGATGCAGGAAATCGTAAATTTGCAAGAACAAGTGCCAGTTAAATAGAGAGTGAAATTTTAAAGCGAAATTTACAGTGTCGGGTGAATATTGAATAAGAACAGAAAAGATGATCCTGCTAATTCACAGAGAACCAAGTAGGTGGTTGAGATTCCCTAAGATTAACAAATTGAAGTGAGAATGAAAAAAAGACAATTCGGCAGAAATGAAGATCGTAAATCGCAATCGTACACAGTGGAGAATAACATGGCGATGCAGAAGAAGAAGGATTAGAGAGAGACCTTAACCCAGTTGCCTTCTGCCACAGCCATCTCCGAGGACAGGAGACTTCTGATGATGGATCCTCTAAATGCTTTGCGAGTGGAACTGATTGGTACGTATGCCTTTATAGGCGTTTGGGTTTGGACCCGGGATCATAATTTTAAAAATAATTAAATCTTTTTGGATAAACCAGTGGATGGGACCTGAGAGTTGCAGAAAAATAAGAAATGAATATTAGATGCTACCTTCGGTCTTTAATATAAGACCTTGTTTGATTTTTATTTTAGTTTTAAATATAAAACCTCAATCCACTTTGTCTCTTATATTTATGTATTTTTTTCAAGATAGTTCTTCTAATAATTATAGTCTTAGCCAATATAGTTGAATAGTAAGGATATTTTAGAAAAGGCAATACCTATTTATTACAAATAACTAACTTAACTTCTTTTTTTTAATCTTTTCAAATTAGTCAATTGGGTCTTATAATTAAACTGGAGGTAGTATAAAAAAACAGTTTTGAGGAAGTACGGAATAATGTAGTGTGAAAAAAACACAATTCGTATATTACAAGAGTCTTAGACTTCAGCTAGAAGGTGGAATCTTTTCCGGGTATCTCCAAAAAGAGACCAGAGTGAAAATAGGGAATTATTTCTTTGGTAAAACCTTTATACATACTAATATAAAAGTTTTATATTTAGGACCGAAAAAATATAAGATTTTTCTTCACTTACTTGATCCGGCCACTTAATTCTTGGGATCCCAAAACTTATTCTCTTGTAATACTAATTCTTTTTTGAGATTAGGTCAGGTAATTCATATGATTTGAAGGAAAAAAAAGTAGCTTTTTTTTGCCAGCTGAAGGAAAAATGGTTGTTATTATATTTTTAACATTTAGAAAAATTAATCATTTTTGGTGAAAAAAAAATCCCTATCGTTTTAATTTGCACACGCCTAACACCGTAGTCCTTAAACTTTGGTTTTGTCTCTGATAGTCCTGGTCTATTAGGATTCTAAACTTTGATATTTTACAACTCAATTCTTATAATATTAATTATTTAAAATTTTAATACCTAAATATATGTTTGATATGAGAAAAATGAAGGGGCGGTAAAGAAAAACTTGGGTTTGATTTTAAAAATTAGAAGAGTAGGGCAAACTCTCATCCCCTCCCCCATTTCCCTTATATTAAACATATTACTTTCTAAAATATAGAAGCTAAAGTTATATATTCTATGAAACTTAATTCTGTTTAGTATAACTTTATTTTTTTAAAAATATGGAAACTAAAGTTTTGAAGTTGGCCAAAAAAAACAAGAAACTAAAATTTTAAATAGAACTAAGTTGTATTAAGCGAAAATTATAAGAATTGAGTTATATGGAGTAAAAAGTTAGGGTTTTGAATCATAATTGAGTCAAAATTACAGGACCAAAAGGATTAATTTTACTTCAATGTTTTGATTATAAATTAATTAATAATTAATGCAATCAGACGAACCAACATCCCGATTCCTACGGGAATATTAGGTAATTGAAGCTGCCGCGTGACGGGAAAAATTTATACAATGAGATTAGTTAGAGATTTTGTAATTATATAAATAAACAGTGATAAAGATTGATTATTTTGTAATTGATAATGACATCAAGGAAAAGGACGAAAATCCTACAAGGCCACAATGTCCTGATCAAATGAATTTCAGAATAAATAAATAACGTAATAATAAACAAATATGTGATGAGTGGGATCTGTGCAATTTGTATGTAAAATATTTTGCATTTACATGTAATAGAATTTTTTAGTTAGATATTAAATTTTGATTCTCTTCACATGCCTGCATCACGCCTCCTCATCTAACTTTAAAGTTGACTTAATTTAATAATATTGGATAACAACTTATAATCCATTAGGTTGTTTTTAAGGACAATGACAGAAAAAAACTGAAAATTTGTAAATGTCAGATAAGGAATATCAACAAAAATTTATTGTCATTTGTAAATTCAGAACTGTCAATACCAAATAAAGTTGTGTTATCAAACCTGATTTGGAATTTACAATTTCAAGCTTTTTTGTTCTGTCATTCTCCCTTGTTTTTACGCTATAGTGAGCCACCTATACTTGATATTAATATAATATTTTTTTTTTGCCAAGATATTAATATAATATTATCATAACTATTATCCACAGGTCTTTTAATTTTAATTTTAATTGAGATGTTCCTATCACTTATGAAAAGTCAGCCAGTGAAATGAATCATAGAACACCGGAAACACCAGATTTGTTTTTTATAATCAGATTTCTTTCATCATACGCAGTTTAAAGGATAAATTATATTACTCGTACATGGTTTATAATCTTATACGTGTTATTTCATATACAAGAGAGTTTAGACGTGTTGATTCTAAAAATATATCATAAAAAGTACGTATAAAGATATACATACTCTTATGAATCAATCTTATAACAGCTGAATTTGAGATTTTTTTTTAAGTCCTATTTGATTCCTTGTTCTCACATAACTCTCATTAAATTTCCTTGGGTGACATCAACATCAATTAATGTGATCTCATGATGAACGCCTTATTCTCAGCTGACTGAGGCATTAGGGAGTAGGGACATAAAATTAGTGACACAACACCTAGAAGTAGAACACTAAAATTAACGCTAAAGGAAACCAGAGAAGTATATAAATGAAATCACACTTGGATACTGTAATCAGAAAGCTTTACATGGTAGAGAGATCTGATAAATGAACAAACAATAAATTACTGAATCCATTATTAAATGGTTAGAGAAAGAAATGCATGCAGAATCAGAAAATATGAAAGCTAGAGATAGAGCTAGCTGTCTGTGTAATGCTATAAACAACCTGATAGTCTATGAAGGTTTCACAGTCCTATGGCACTTGTAATTCCAAGTCAAGCTTGGTGACCTTCGGAAGCAAACAAGTGGCCAGCATGCTGTTTGTTGAAATATAGGTAAGTCTTTTTCCCAGTAGATGAAACTATAGGCAGGGGAGAGAAGCCAGTGTAGTTCCCATCCAACTTCTCTAAGCATATTTTTGCAACTGAGTCGAAGCCCGAGTTTTGTGTCACAAAGGGTTGGGCTGCATAATCCTTAACTGGCATCCACTGCATCAATAAAAAGGACAATTACATCAGACCCTGATTGATATCTACCAGATGCAATGTCCATTGTGTCTTTGTTAACATTATATGTGACTTCTAATTACTTTCTTTTTTATATCAGAATACGAGTGACATTTCTCATCCACAGATAAAAGAGATTAAACATGTCCTGAGTTTCTGATGGGAGACATTGAAAACACTAGTTCACTTGACCAGAAGAAGAATATAAGCATGAGACCAGATGACTGAATAAAAGTTGAAATCTATTAGACATTATCATGAGTTTGAAAGCAATTGAGTAGGAATTAGACACAAGAAAAAGGATTAATTGGCCCTGGAACATACCTGAGCAGCTGCAATTTCAGACGTCTGCGTCTGAATATCGAAGGAACGTGGTTGCAACATGCAAACAAAGAACAGGTCTGATTTCCGGAAGAAAGCCTTGTGGCTTTGCCTGATGCAATGCAAGAAAGATAGAAAAGAGGCAAAAGTTTCAGTCCGTGCCTTGACGACTAATGGTTATCAATGAACATGTAAATACGCTAATTAAATAGATGTCTTGGTCTTACCTGAAAGCTAAAACTTCTACAAATTCTGTCTCTATCTGAAAGAAGAATTAAAGCAGAGAGGTGTTAGGCTTCAAATGAGTCCAAAAACTGGGTCAAACATCTCTCAAGTTTTTTTGGTCCTAGTCTGTTCACACTTAGATAAGCCAGGACCATTTCACCTGGAGAAAGTTCAGACCTCCGAAAAAACAGAGTTGAAACTTAGTAGATTGGTTAAGCAAACTTACTCCTGTTTCTTCTTTAACTTCCCTAACAGCAGCAGCAGACAAATCCTCACCCTGTAAATGCAATCCAAATTATATACAGAAAAGCATATTAAACAGCGTAAATAATGCATCAAAACTGGATTGAAGATTCCTACCTCCTCAACAGTTCCGGTAGGTAACTTCCATACATCTTTACCTTTGAACCATCCAGTGCGCTCCTGAACCACAAGGACCTCTAGAATGAAACAAAGTAATTTAATTAGTATGATACATCAAATAAATCATAAGAGCACACTGTCACAGCACTAAATAGAAATTTTTGCCCCGAAAACTGGTTGGATAATCACAGAATGAAGGCTGACACAGGTTCCTTTCATGAGCAAATGAAAACGTACTTGAAAAGGGAAAAGATTGATCCTCATTGTGGAAAATAAGTTTTTGCTATATCTATAAGTCCTCAAGAAAATATTATTGACATAGGAAAACAAAAAACCCAGGTTTCTCCCCTTGGTAAAGTAAATGTTTTGTTTTTCCTCAGTTGCTAATGATTCTCTGCCAATCCAAAGGCTAAGGCCTCAATGAGTCTAGAAATGTAGCTAATAATATTTTCCAACACACATCATTATATGTGGACAATTACATTTGCGTGTGCCTTAAGACCAGCCACTGTTGAAGCTTAAGATGTTTAAAAGAACAGGCATTAAAGCCACTAAATTTACAATCCACTTGTTTTAGTGAGAAGGCAAGTATCATGCAGGATTTTATATTCATATACCGATAACAAGGCCGAAGTATTCACGACAAGTTTCCAAAAAAAAAAAAAAATGGAAGTCTTGCTTCTTCAATTTTCTTCAAAGTAAAGTTTACACCATATTCATGACATGAACAATGGTACTTTGGTTAGATGGTGCTAGAAGACAAAATTTTGACCCAATGAAAACTAGAAACACAAAAAGGAATACCTCTCTATTATTATTCATGACAAATGCACCGATTCCAACACGATGTGAAGCATTTGCAGGGAGGGTATCAGCAGTGTCGGGAATCCAATGTACAAGCATCAGATAATCTGGCTCCGCATGGTGGTACCTAAATCCAGCCTGCAAAAAGAGATCAGTATCAAATATCAGCATGACCACAAGAACTTGGAGGTCAGCATGTTAAGATTAGCCAAGACTGACTCAGCAGCAAATGCATTTACCTTCACCACAGCCTCAACAAGATTTGCATGTCGTATGGGCAACTTGATCCATACCCCCTTCTTTCCCTGTAAAAGCCATTTTGATTATTTGTATAAAGCTGAAAAGAAATCTTATATACTCAATCAAAAAGAGGTATTATAGTTAAAAATTTGACAACCTACCTGTTCCCGCCAGCTTGACATTGATGATTCCAGCAAAGAAGCAAAGACCATGGAATCCATAGGCTGGTCCACGTTAACCGTAACTCCTCCATGATTATCCTCCTTTGCATTAAGTAAATTAGTGCTTCTATCTTCCATTACCTCTATAGCTGTGGAAACCGTCATGAATGTCCTTGGGATCAAACGGTTACCCATGCTGTCACCTAAAAGAATACCAATGCAAGTAGGATTACTTCAAAACACTGATGAGAAACATAATAGTATTGGGCCCATGTGGACGAAGGCCCATTTAGGATATGTAGTCCTCTGCTTAGTGTTTCGGTCTATAAGTAGCTGGGCCTCATGTGGATGTATTTTTCTCTCTTGTACGTTTCAGATACTAGTCGAGAATAGAATTATTATTTTTCCAGGCATTCTGGGCCTGTTCTGCGTGTCATGAAACACAATTATACACAAAAAACAAATCACAGTGGTCAAGCTCAAAGCATAAACAACTCATGCCAGCACTTAAACTTGTTTCCAAATACCCAAAGGCGCTGCCTTAAATCACTTGGATATATAACTGCAAATATGTAGACCTCACCTTCGGGGAAGACAGGGCAGGAAGGGTAAATGGAACCAAGAGTTGTCTTCGGAGGAGAAGGGACTGCAGAAAATGAGAGAAATGATTTCGGATTTGCCAAAAGGCAAGAATATAGGTTGCAAGCTGAGACACGGAAAGGCAAAATGCTGAAAAGTTCTCTGAGACCTTCTCTTCGGGTTCACATGATACCTTTCCATCCTCATAGGAAGGGTCACCTTGAAGCTCAAGACGGAAATTTCCATGCAAAATTAGACTGTGGAACTTCGAACGAGTCCTTTAATTTCTCTGCTTTGGCTTCCTTCAGGGACAAATTTGAACCAGGAAAGCAACAAGAAAGTACAGGAATAAAACGGAAAAAACGAATAAAATTAGACGGTTACATTCTAAGTTGTTCAGGCAATCAAGGAAAATTCATGAGCCTTTCTGAAATGTTTTCTAAATGAGTTCCGGATGAACACCGAACACGCGTACTGTATGTCATCGTCGCAGCCAGATGCGACCCGGCGCATTATTTGGGTCGGATCACGGTTTTAAATATTCTTTTTTATAAGAAATATTTGACAAAGTCGTATAAATAAAAAAATTAGTTAAAATAATAAATATAAAAAAATTTTTAAAAAATATTCTTATTTACAGGCCAAGTATAAGAAAATTATTAAAATAAACTTAAAAATAAGATAATAAATATATTGAGTATTAGAATAATTAATTAATGTAGTCAAAATATGAAACTAATCAAGAAATTTTGAGATATCTTGCAAATTTTTCCTACAAATAGTTAAATAGGAATAAGATAGAAATTATAGTTATTTATTGTATAAAGGGATGGAAGGAGTAATAATTATAAGACTTTTTTTAAAAAATATTTTTTACAGTTTACTATTTAAGAGACAGCTAAAAACTCCCTTTTTAAAATATGAGAGAATTACTGTGAGTCCCAAGGAGAATGAAGATATTTAATTACTAAAAATTTCAATCATAAGTGAGAAAAAACCTGATGTTATTTTTTATATTGAAATTTCATCATTATATGCTTGTCATCAGACTTTCAGGTAATTAATTTTTTTTTTTTACAATAATTCTCCCTTGTCAAAGGGATCTAAAATTTGTATGTTCTTGAGCAGATATGACTTATTTTTAGCAGGGGTCATTTTTCTTCAACTGTGCACTAACATCTTCCGTTTTGCCTCTAAAATAGGATTTGTGCAATTCATTTTTTAGTGAGTACAACTTTTTTTCAGTTTTGCATAAAATATCTTTAATTATGTCCAAACATTTTTCATTTTGCCCCTAAAATAGGGCTATGCAATTGATCTTTAGCGGCTATGACTTTTCTTAATTTGTGTGCAATTTATCTTTAATTATATGCAAATTGAGGACATTTATACATAATTGTATATTAAAATTTTTAATAGGAAAATTTTTAGCAATTTTTCATATTATTTATAAGAGAACTTATTTTTTCCTATAACAAAATATACAATACCATTCTCAACTTAAATTATTTTTTATAGTTTAGGATTTATGAAGGATGAATTAGTATATAAAATTTATTCAAATATAAAATAAATTTTGCTAAAAAAATCTTTTTATAATTTTCTTATCGATATTAATTATTTGTATTTAAATGTATATTTTGAAAATAGAAGCAACGTTAGTATACGAAAGATAAAATGTAAGGGAGGTTATTAAAACACATGCTATCTCGATCTTTAATATAAATACTAGTTTAATTTTTAACTTAGTTCTCAATTCACTTCATCTTTAATAGTTATCTATTTTGCCCTCAAGTACTCGTATATTAGTTGCATATGTTAAAAAGTTAGTATCAATAGGTATTTGAAACATACTTGATTAAAAAAGATATTTTAGAGAAGATAACATTTATTTATCCACTTTGTTTCTCATATTTATCTATTTTTTTTCTAAGGTAGCCTTTGTAATAATGGTAGTTTTAGCCAATACACTTGATTAAGAAGGATATTTTAAGAAAGACAACATCTATTTATTACAAATAGCTAATTTAACTAATTTTTTTAATATACTCAAATTAATCAACCAGTTGTCATATTAAGGATAGGAGGTAGTATTAATATGTCAGATTCTTTTTTCAAATTTTTTAATGTCTTTAATTTTTTATCCATTGTCTCTATAAATTTCTTTTACGAGTGAATATGAGGTTATAGGTAAGATAATACTAATGAGTAAGGTGATACTATATCCGGTTCTTAATATAAGACCCATTTAATTAATTTGAAAAAAATTAAAAAAGATATTCCCTCCAGCTCAAAATATAAAATAAACTTTGTTGGAGGTGCTTAATTTTTTTATAAGATAACTAGTGTGATCCCCGCGCGATGCGCGGGATGTATGAATAGGAAAGGAAACGAAAGAAACATTAGATGCACCAGTACTGTTATAGAACACCTTCATTTGATTGTACTTCTCATCAACTTTCACAGTCAGGGTGGAGTTGATCTTCCCTAAACGAAGTGACGAAATCCCAAATCCGAAGCCGTGCATATTACCTCAGAGGAACCAAAAAAAAAAAGACATCAAGCAAACGTGAATGAAGGTCTCAAGGAAATAGAAAAGAGTATACCATACAAATTCATAGAGGTACCCATTATGTAAAATAGGACGGTTTTCTCTTCCCCAAGATTGAACCGCTTGCATTCTCATTAATCACAGCCACCGAAATGTCCACTCAACACTCAATCCCAAAATGCAGTTCTTATATCAAAAATGAAAATACGAAATAATATAATAACTCACACCATACGAACATATAGAACAGAGGTAAATTCGTTTTACAAAATCATGTCTGCATAACGAAAACAAATTAATTCCTGCCTACATACTTGCGCTAAAAATAGTTCGCTATTACACATATGCTTGCATCTTCATGAAACTTATATATCAGCATCTAATATTTGCATTAAGGAACACTTCCCTGTATACAACGTTCATTGTCAACTTCTTCTTCCCACTCTCATCATTGTGCAAGAGAATCTTCAACCCGTCAATAGATTTAACTCTAGATAGCGCAACATATAATTGCCCATGCGTAAAAACGGGTTTCGGCAAGTATAATCCAACACACTGCAATGACTGACCTTGACTTTTATTTATAGTCATCGCAAATGAAACAGATATTGGGAACTGCCTTCGTCTCATACGAAATGGCAGCCGACTATCAGAGGGATTCATGTCCATGCGATGTATCAACACCTTCTGATTCGGCATCGAGCCATTCAAAGTGACTGCCTCAATTATTGATTTTCCTAGCTGAGTAACCCGTAATCTTGTTCCATTGCATAACCCTGAAGCTTGGTCAATGTTCCTCAGAAGCATAATAGGTGTCCCAATCTTTAAGGTCAACTTATGCATAGGCATCCCGGAACAATTTATTGTATTCAAAAACTCAGTAGTGTACATGTCTTCAATACAATCGCCATCCTGAGAGGATTTGCAAATGGAGTCGCAACTATAAAAATCAACAGATTCACCAGGCAAAATCGAACACATGTACTCATTGATTCGATTCACAGCATCAATTGTTGGTGCTAAAATTGCGCGATCATTGAAATAGGAATTATCGTTCAAATTTTCCAAAAGATCTGCATATGTAGACGAGACAATGGCACCAATTGGGTCATCATATTCACTAATCAATAGTTCAGAAGGTATCTCAATTTCTGCAGTTTCATCATGCGGCATACCCAATTTACCATCACCTACATCTAAAAGCCATTGACAAAACTTTTGGGTACGAGTACGATCCTCTCCCGATGATGATGATTGCAAGCGCATATTAACTGTCAATTGAAATATCGTGCAATAATCCCACAAATACGAAGAACAAATGCAAGCATTAATGATGTCTGCTCTTGACCCTTTGGGAATCACAGGAAGAATTTGCCGAAAATCACCACCCATAACAACACATTTTCCACCAAAGGGATGATCAAAATGCATTATATCCTTCAACGTACGATCAAATGCTTCAATGCAATATCGTTGAACCATCGGAGCTTCATCCCATATAATCAGCTTCGTGACTTGAAGTAAATTAGCCAGTGGAGAATTTTGTTTAATATTGCACACAGAATCTTCATTGACTTGAAGAGGAATTGCAAACCTTGAGTGAGCAGTTCTTCCAGAGGGTAATAAAGTTGCAGCTATACCACTTGATGCCACTGTTAGAACAATATCACCTCGAGAACGGATAGTTGATGTCAACGCATTCCACAAAAATGTTTTCCCTGTGCCTCCAAAACCATATACAAAAAAAAAGGCTCCATGCAAAGAGTTCAATGCTGACATCACGATGTCAAAAACTTTTCTTTGATCCAAATTCAACAAACAGATGAGCCTTCTTGATTCTAGACTTAAGGCATCGCGATCATAATTTAATTCTTGCAAAATAAGATAATTTCTCACATCAATTAAAGGGACTGATGAAGGAAATGGCAGAGAAGGATAATCAATAAGACTCTTTCCATTATGCTGCAACAACAATTCAATCTCTTTTAATGCTGCTTCCTCTCTATCTCTGTCAGATATAAACACGCCTACAATTTAAAAAAAACAAAAAATAACTATTAAAAAATTCCTGTATCATTCAATGTTTCAAACAAATCATGCAACAAAAAACACAAAATTAATCTCAATTCTAAATACACAAAAAAAATTTAAAAATTAATGCTTACAAAATACTTACTTGATGACATAGGATCATCCCGTGAGATAAACAATAAATCCTCCGACAAAACCTTGGATGTCTGCTCCCAAACAAACTCAGGACGACTCAATGATGAAGAAAGTAACATGCTTACAAACATCTTTCTCAACATTGAACCAGATGCCCACAATGAGGCCTCCTTTATACCATTTATGTACTCATTATCATCATCTAACACCCCAGTGCATGACATGCAGCTCTAAAGGTTGGATAAACAACACCATCGACTGTCCTGATATCTTCAAAAGAAGTAGGGCCTCTAACCTTTGTAATTAAAATACGAAGGTAATAAAGTTCCCCTAACGAAGGTGGTGTATGAGTAATTCTCCCGATGGCGAACCCTTTTTCCCTTCGCTTCCAACTTCTTTTCAATCGTTGATAAACATAGTGATTAGGGAATTCGGAGTAAGTCAATGTTTTTGCAAACAATCATGCATATTTAATTTCATCCATGCAAGGAACATTGACTCACATACCCTAGGCTTCTCAATCAAGTCTGCAACATCATCATTGTTAGAATATACGACATATTGCTGATTTGGCAAATGGAAGCTCAATCTTTCAACAGCAGGATATCTATGATGAATCTCAAAGGCAAAAATTCTCCAAGCAGCTTCACAAGCAGAAATGTATCTGAAGTTGTAATACTGATGAATCTCATCAGCCGTACAATCACTACTTCCTTCTTGACTGCCTTCATATATAGATGCTACCACCCTATCGTGCCCTTTACTGATATACTTAAATAAGTATTTAATAGCAGAGGATTGATTGCACTTCTCAACATTAATATGAGCTTGAAATATGGACAATAAAAATGAATTGTATGGGACAACAAAACGATTATCCAAAGGAATACCTTTTACTTCTATTGTCCTCCCATCATCTCTTCTTCTATACGTAGGATACCCATCATCATCAATTGTTGTGGTGGCAACAAACTTCTTAGGAAAGTACTTCGAACATTTGTTGTCCTTCATGCAAGGTGACTTTCTATTCAAATGACCACATGGGCCATGAACCATGAACCTTTTAACTAAGTCATATAACCCAGGGTTTGAGTGCCTATCAGGTATTTCAGCAGATATAACTTTATCAATATCAGTCGGTTCTTTTAGTTGATCATTTTTATCAAGAAATAACAAAATGTGTGCATGTGGTAGCCCTCTTTTTTGAAACTCTGTAGTGTAAACATCTGCAATTAAAAAATTTAAATGTATTAGAATAGATAATTAACAACCCCATTTTTAAATATACTTTAATATAATTTATACATGAATCTATATCATAAAGTTTAATTAAAAAAAAATACTCGCAATAACAAATAATAGCATACCTGCTAGTACTTTACCAAATATCTTTTCCTTCTTAACTGTTGACATTAGAGCCTTGAGTTTCATATGAAACACACGAGACAATATGTCTGGCCTATTAGATGAAGACAACGAAAGCCCATCACAATATCTTGTGATTTCAGGCCACGCTGGATTACATGTAAAAGTAATGAATATACTAGGATAACCAAAATATCTGCAAAGAGCCATAGCATCCTGATAATTACCCAACATATATCGTGCACCACCAGTAAAAGAGGAAGGCAAAATGACACGTTTCCCAATTGATGAGGCATTTCTTTCACCACTTAATAAAGCATCTATTAACCCTTGGTATAGGTATGCTCTAAGCTCCTTCTGGTGTGTTCTGACCCATAACAACCTTTGAGACTCAATCATTGTGTATCCATCCACTATGAACTGCTGGAATAAATTTCCTGCATGTAGCAATGTTGAAATTTCGTTCTCCCTAAACATTAGTCTATATGCAAAATACTCTCTCATGCTAAGCATCTTCTTCTTTTTGGTCTTGCTAAGAGTCTCTTCACGATGTTCAATATTATCTCTATAACCATCTTCACCCCTCGGAAACAATAATGGATATTGAAGAGCTAGATAAGATGGATGTAACTCATCAATCCGCTGAGGATAACCCGACAACTCATGAACTATAATATCTCTTCTACAAAAATTTATATCAACATCACCTATGATAAGTGCTGCAACCTCAGGCGCTGAAGGCAAATTATAGTTGCGCCCATTATGATTTCTAGTACTGATTAAACGTAACTTCAAATTCGAATGACTCATTCATTGATCATTGATGATGCGATCCTGTATTGTTTAACAAATGGATTAACATCATCAAGGACCTTCTTCAATTTCTCAACTATTTGAGGTTGAACTGACATTTGCTTCATATGCTTGCTGCAATAAAATAAGATGCAATGTAAGTTAAACCAAAATCTATGATAAATACGAACAAAAATACACAAAAAACATTGTTCCCTTAATCCAAATATACCTCACGGCAGAAATACGATTAGCCACTTCATTGTTCGTATCGTATATATATAACTGTAAATAAACAGGCTTGCATCCTTCAGGGGGCAACAAACTACCAATCTTGTGGTAATTTATTCCAGACAACACAAAAGTGTACGGACCACCACCACGATTCTTTGAGTGATCAATTGTACCCCCCATAGAAGTAAATGAGAACATGTTGTTGTATGACCTAATGTTTGCATGAAAATTCTTTGACTCATCAGATTTTTTATCAAAGAATAAGTCGCATAGCAATTCTGGGGGAGCGGTCATGATGGGAAGCTCCACTTTTCCCTTGAGGCAACACATTGAAAATTTGGGAGTAATTGTCGTTTTGCAGTTCCCAACTTTCTCATTGAACCACATCTGAGCACCACATGATTCACATACATATACTGGATCGCCTTCGTCATTGTATTCAGCGTGTATCTCCTCTATTCCTTGTAAATGATAATCAACTTCCTTTTCACTACCTAAATCATTTCCTATTCAAGTAATACAAAAATGACTCACAACCCATTTCACATTTGATATGGAATTACTATATACCAACTTGTACATTTACCTTCAGATAGATCAAACCCATTATCACTGCTTTCACCATGAGAATTGTGAATCGCCGGATATGAGAAATAAACCTCCTTATACCGTACTTCAGCAGGATCTAACAGAAAGCGATAATAACCTCTAGTCACACCATAAAATAAATAATTCAACTTTTTTGACGTCACATCTACTTGGCGCCTTTCTCAGATTACTAATATTTTGTACACTTACCTATTTATTAAATAACATCTGTATTTATACACCAAGAAAGAGATTAATAAAAAAAATAATATTTACCAATCATACTCATACTGCATTGCCCATTAAAAAACAAAATATTATTTACCCCCACTTAAAAGGTTGTCTGACATCCTCTACTCAATATGTTGCAAAGTAAATAAAAAATTTATAAAAAAAATCTCTAACAACACAAACAATATTTTTCTCAGAGATATTTGTTTCTATAACACACATATAAAAAATATTAAGGAAAAATATTAGGCAAAAAAATTATTATAAAATAATTAAAAAATTCACAATGGGACACATTATCAAATAACGTATAAAATAAACAAACTAAATTTCATTACTTACAATCAAGTTACACATTTCATTTAAAAATAATTAATGGAACGAAAAAAAAAGGTACTGAGCCATCATTATATAACATACTTCATACGAAAAAATAAATAATATGCGAAACAGCATTCGAACATTTAAATCCAATGAAAATATACAAACTACCCCTTCCACGGGTTTGGAAAATTTAACCATACTACACATATGTCTCATTATTCTTACTGCATATTCATCACGCCACGACACTTAGTAATAATGTGAACTGGGTTGATTTATGGAATGACATAACATATTAATCACTAGCAATATACTTTTACAATTATCCAATTAGTGTTATTTAAATCAGTACGTTATTTTGAGTGTCAAAGTTAACATAACATATTAATTTTAATATCTGAAAAACCACTATGTAAGAAGCTTGTAAATATATTAATCCCACTCAGCAATGGCGGCATAATTTATGTGCAATTAGACTTTTTTTTTAATATTTGACCAACAGTTCTAGTATGCATATAGCGAAGCAGACTTTGTTTATTCACAAGAAAAACCTGATAGCATATTTGGTGATCGATCTTCATTATCAAAATGTGCTGGAACTTCTACATCAGAAAAATCTATCCGGCGTCCTATCTGCATATTATCCCCTGAATAAAAGAAAGATCTTCTTCTGCTCCACCTACAAACATCTTTAATAGAAAAGGGACCAACACAATAGTTTCATGGCACCAATAAATAATAGCCCAAGAGGTATATATCCAGAAAAATTTAATATACGATGAAACACATCTAAAATATAATGAACTACTCACCACCTGATGTCAAAGCATAAGAGGATTGTGGCTGGTCTTTAACGGATTCTATTGCCACATTTTCATCACTCGTATAAAAAACAGAGCTGTGTAAATCTGAGAATGAATTATTGGTTTCCATGTAACCGCCGTGATCAGCATAGGAACCACTTCGACCTGCACCACTAAGCATGTCCTCCATATGTGTCCTTTCTATGAACATCCAGTAAAATGAAAAAGCAGAGTGTTAATGAAAAAATTATAACAATCTATAAACTATCGTATATTAGTGCGGACAAAACCATACCATTTTGTGAAACTCCTTGAGATCCTGAATCAAGATTATATATCGTGTTACTAATATCTTGTAAAGCAATTGCCCTTCCTCTACGCTTAGATCCAATTGAACCACCATTGTCAAATGCATATGTCGCCTGACTAGTCCTCTTTTTGCAGCACCTTTTAGTTATCATATTTCCTTTTCCCCCCAAACTCCCATTAACGGAACATTGATCCATTGAGTTCAATAAACCCATCCTCCTCCCTAAAGAATTTGGACCCGTTACTCTTTCAACATCTAACCCAGAAAACCAAAACAAAAGTCAATGCAAAAATATAAAAAATTTTACATGTCACCTGATAAGAATATAACACATACTTATCCTACGATGATTTTCGCTGGAAAAATTTTCTGATGAACTCTGGTATGCACATGAATCTGTGAAATTTTGCAAACTCCCTGCATCAGAACTGACGTGGTTGGATGCCATCACTTCACTCTTCAATTTTTCTTACATAACTCATATATGAGTAACTAAGATATGACCACCTCATTTATATATAGCCAGGAAAGTATGTGCCACCACTTTCACTCTAAGATGCCGTAATGATCTAACTATAAGATACAATATTTTCCTCCCATACTTGGCAGGTCTAACTGTCATCACCCATATCTTCACACTGATGTATATCAGGCTGAAATCATTTTAACAGGTCACATCATTTTACCCCACATTGTTGTCTATGCAGGTATTTTGTGACCCCACCATATCTGTTGAGAAATGCACCAAAAAGCAAATGTAGGAGATTAATCAATCCCTCCTACTGTATCTCTTTGACCGAGAACCGCGCCCCCGTAACCTTGTTTGCATATAGTGATTAAGGCAACATAATGTTTGCATATTTTTTAAATTGATTTTTACACAGGTTGTAAACTCTAAGATAAATCAAGTTTAATTTAGTGAAATTTGTTAATTCACATTTGGTCATTCTCTCTAATTCTTCCAATATTATTTTCACGGTCACTTTGTTTTGTAAAATACAGTTAAAAGATTATAGTTTAAAATAAAACATTGATTAGATTGATTTAGATTATAAATTCATAATCATGCGAGCCTTCTCCTACTAAAAATAAGGTCTTTTATTGATTACACCACTAATTTTATCTGTTCCGCTTAATAACACTTGCAAATTGCTTGTGGGTATTTGAGACCATTTTGTTTTGTGTGTAGCAATGAGCAATGTCAAGTAAAATATTCCTTGTGTTACAATACAAAGCCTTTGATATAAACAGTTGTGATGGAGGATATAGTGATATACAAGGTTGGTTCTCTGTGTACTCTTCATCCTCTCCAAACTATAAGTGAGAGTCAGCGTGCTGCTCATCCTCCTTGCTAAAGATGTATATATATAATTTCATGGTTGATTGTCCTTAAAGATGCTTATATTAAAAAAACCTCCCTTGCCAAAATATTTGAACAAACCAGAGTCAATCCTGGATCAATATAACACTCACAACATTACTTAATATATATAACTGAAATCGAAATACATTCAACACAACATACATAATAATATCACAGCATCAGTAGGCTGCTAAGACATTTTCCACCCTAACGGGCTGCCACTGAAGGCCAAAATATTGGTTCAAATCAAAACATAACATAACCCCATCAACAGTGGACTAAAAAGCAATAACATTAATAAAGTTATACGACATAAACATATCTAATCCTACGACCCATAACAACGAAAACTACATGCATCACTTGAAGCATCATTCTTCTCCTGTTTGATGGACTTTAAATTTTCCCTCCAAACTTGATAGGTGAATCATTAGAAACAGACAACCCCTTTGAACTTCCTCCTCCAATCCTCCTGGCTATACTCTTCCTTTTCCCCTTATAGGTGGCTACTGGCATCATCTCAGACACAGGGATCTCATCAAGATCAACCTTGACCACATCAACATCCTCCATCATACACGGCTCAGTTTGGGACAGATAACTGTCCTGGGCAAAATCCTCTTGCATAACTACGTAATCAGAGCCCTAAAACATTTTCAGAATATTTTGTTAGAAAAAAACAATAACTAAGAATTAATATGAACTAATAAGAGTGGCACATGAATTAGTTAAATGCATGAAATTTTTATACCTCATCTGCCACCTCTTCAATTGCCTTGCCAGCCTTTGCAAAAGACATTGAACAAAAGAAAAAATTAACTTCTAAAGACTTTAAAAATTTATATAAAGAATCTTAAAAAACATTATAAAGATTTTCTCACCCTGTTAAATTCATCCATCAGATCAGCAACTTCAGTATATGTAGCAACAGAAATGCTAGAATGTGGAAAATCTACATTATATTGGTTCAGCTTCATTTTGAGCAACAATCTTTTCCCCACAAGAAAATCTAACTCACCTGGGACATCAATGTAACCATCCTTATCCTAACCAAAACATGAGTATCAAATGAGCTCCCTCATTAACATATTTCATGAAAGACAGAGTAAACTTTAAAATGTTGAAAAAATACCTTTGGAAGACCTTTCTCCAGCTCAGCAGCAGTTTTTCCAATAAATTGTATAGCCAACTTATCAAAAAACACAACACTAATCTTTCCAGATTCATCCATGACTGTGTAATGGACTCTAAGCCTACAGCCACAAATGAACACACAAATTTCAAATGCCACTCTACTGAAAATGGTACTTAATAAGACTTACATGTTGGAAATAATTAATAAAACCAATTAATATTGTACTTAATATACAGCCTCCATTTAGATATAAACATGCTCTCAACATCTTACTTAGACTCGTAGGTTGTTGGCTTCTTCTTGCATAAATTGCCCATGCAAGGCTGTTTAACGTCATCATCTTTGGGCTTGCTGCCACACTTTGAACATCCTATATATTTCCATCCATGCCTTGTATCCACCTTAATGACCTTGCACCTGATCCAGAAATATTCACCCTGCACATTAAAAATCAATTATTCAATACAATAAGACATAAAGAACCTTGTCAATAACTTCACCTCCCACCATGCTACACTAACCATAGTTTGTTTCGCTATATCAACAATTGGGATGAAAGGTTGATTCTGGATAACAGAGCTTTCAACCGTATTTGATGCCTTGGAAGATACACTTGCAGAAATTGTGCTAATCGTGGGAGAAGGTAAGGACTTTGCACTATTACGAAACAGACACACCATGTCACATTTTGCAAATAATGCATATATATGACTAACAATCAGGCCTAGATAGATTCATACCTCTTAATAAAATGCTTCACCTCTGGATAGTTCATGTTAAATAAAACTTTAGAAGCATGGAAAGAACTACATACTTCTGGCTTACCTAAATGCCAAAAAACAAAATCAAGTCATTAATGGCCTGCATGATTTAACTTAATCATTTGAGACTAAAATCAATTACCACATCATCTCGACCTTACCACCACAAGATCAACTGACCAAACACTTTCTGATTGCGTACTATAAAATAATACTGACTTTCAAGACAATAACTGAATTATCAGCAATGCACATGCACTCATATGCCTTTTTACTCGGTCATTTTAGCTTTTGCAGATGTATGTAAATAAAAGTTACTACTTTTGCTGCAACACTTCTTCAAAAGCAATCTCACCTTGTAGCAGTACACTATCAACTAACCCAGAAAAACATCGCGGGCATCAAATAAAGTGAACCAGCAAGAGTAATGTGAAGGCCAACCAAAAAACTTAAATTAGATGAGAACTATATATGCCCAAAATTTCATTAGATTAAAAAAGCCAAAACACATTACGTCATTACATTAACAACCGCCATCATTACAATCTTTTTAACATGATGTTGGGTCTCACAATACTTAATATATTAACATGATGTTCATTTATTAGAGATAAAACTATGGTAAAAATGATGAGAATTGAAACTTTACTTGCTGTGTTCTTTTTTAAAGTTATGAAAATACAAGAAATAAATGTAGATCCTGTCATTCCATCGTTAATGCAAAAATCATGATTGATAAAAAAATAACAAACATCTTCCTATGCATATTTTCCCACCATAAAAATCAGGAAAACATTCTGCCCACCCATGTTTGTTTAAATCTTCCAACATCAGGCTTGATTATGCAACATAATATATCAACATGATCAATTTCTTCAGTCAACCACAGTCACGATTATAAACATCAAGAAAAAATTCTGGTCACGATTATATACATTCTCACCTTTCGCATCAAACCCAATTCTAGCCAGCTGCATCAACATTACCACAGGAGCATCCATCTTGGTGAAGTCCATCATACACACCTCTGTTGCACATTCATCAAGTAACACACAAGACACAGAGTTTTCCCTAATAATTTAAAATCAATGATTAATCATAGCACCCATATGTACATGTATTGGCAAAAATAAATTGCAATTCTAGCAAAGTCAAATAAATTGCACATACAAGTTATCAGACAAAGTTAACCGCATCCTATTCTTCATTTCAGAATCATTACGGTATTCTTCCAATGGACCAACTGAAGTGACAAATCCAATGACATCTGCATATTTATAAAATATATCACTATGCAACTGCTTCACACACATAAAATGATGTGCTTCTCATTCGCTATATATCAAAACCAGAAATTAAATTATAATGATGAACTTCACACTTACCAATGAGATAATCAACACTCTTCTTATCTGTAATTTCAATAATTTCAGATATAGGGAAGAAATTATAGGAGTATTCTGGTATATCAGCTTCCCTTTCCTTCACATACGTATGTTTGCCCAATGTAATCTTAAATGGATGCTTAGTTGCCCTGTACTCCTTAGTGTTACCCACCACAGAAAAATTAGCAATGAAATAACTCCTCCCCTCTAAAGCTTTATCTTCAAATAGCTTGAATGCACTTTTGTTGCTAACCGATGCCTGGATCCTCGTCCCCTACAAGATTTTACCCACTCATAATATACTTGAAAAATCAATAATAACTTAATCAAGTGGTAGTCAATTTGAAACTGTATAGTTACAGCACATATATTTTTACGTGGGAAATACAAATAAGACTAACCTCTTCATCAATGAGTAGCATGGATATACATAAAAGGTCAGCAGGGGAGTCTTTTTCATAAACATTCCATCTCCTAATAACACGAGCAACAATCTTCCACCTATCTGTTGAATCATCAATTTGCCTAATCATTGAAGTCTTTGAAGAAGACATTCTGGTTGATGCACTAAAGACTTGAATTTTCTCAAAAAGATGAACTAAGACACATGAACGGACCTTTAAGAAAATGACATCAATTTATAGACCTCTACACCTTCACGTAGTCGTTGACTTAGAAGCAAAAACCAACACTGATACACTGACGTAACTAAAGATTCATAAACACTGCATTGTAATTATGGCTATAGATCCTCTCTGCACCATAAATCTTCTTGTTTCAGACTTGTTTATGTCGCTTTTAAACCACTATCCCACTGCTACACTCTTTGTGCACACAAAATAATACTGACAAGATTACATCCCATACTTTCAAAAGAGCCACGATATCTCTGTGTTATCAATGTTGCTTCCAAAAAGATTTCATCCAATGAAGATTAGATTTTAGACAGCCCAATATCAGTAAATCTTGATAGAACGTGAACAACATGATTACCATTACCCACCTCAATATTATAATCAATAATTGAATATATGCACGAAACCTCCTACCACAGGCAACTGAGAAGACAAAACATGTTCACGTTTGCCAAAAAAGTCTACTCATATCTGCACAAAAGCTGTAAAAAAAATGTGACAAGCAACATGGACATCAAAAAAGATATCTACCGTAATGATCAACCGTAATAACATGGACATCCAATAAGTTCAACGTAGGCAGGATTTTCAATAATAGATTATGGGAAATATACCGCAATAGTATAAATAACAATAGTTTTAATGAAAAGTTTTTGAGACAAGTCTAAATTTGCTTGTGTTAACGATAAGTTCTCACCTATTATCAAGCAACTTCTCTATTTTGTGTCTTTTAATATTTTTTAATCCTTTTTTAGTTATGGAATCTTGATTAGACGTCACCTACATGAAATGATTTATCTATGGTTCCCCCCTCATATGAAGAGTATTGGGGTTGATCCATAGGTACCTAATCTTTGAGTATTTTAAATCATCAAATATATATTTGATACTCAACATGAGACCCGTGTCCTCCTATTACACAATTGTTATTTATTGTCAACCAACGCCACTACTCACAAGTTCGATCATTATCCAGCTTTGGGAAAAACACACATCATTTTTCTTTTATTGTAAGTACTTCATTGGATATTAATAAATATTTTTTTTAATGTCAGCGTAATTTTAGAAAAGTTAACTATACAAGATAATATAATACAGATTCAAAACTAAATGGAACTTTAATTTAGGAGTTTTTTTTCCCTCAATGAAAGAGCATCGAGGTTTATGTCCTCATTAAGATGTACTAATTGAGTTCTGAAATCTAAATTATTATATAATTTTAGTAGGAGATTATATATATTTGGTTGATTCAAAGTCAACAGGTTCACTCTCTGAATCTCCTCTGAGACATCTCAATTTGCGTCTAGCAAGTTAAATCATCAAATTACTATGATATTATAATAATAATAATATAATATTATAACAACAACAACAACAACCGGTGAATTTGAGGTAGAAAGGGCACAAAAAGCATGTTTCAAGCCATATAACTTGAAGGGCTGCACTGATAATCTATGCAAGACGCAAATTGCAATCAAAGCATGAATAGTGATATTGATACAAAAATTTACAAAAATTTTTTCATAATAATATTAGTACTAATACTTTTTGTAATTTTATCTTGGTCTATTTTTTATTAGTAAGAAGTACCTAATAAATTTTTGTACACAAAAGGTCTTGTTTGGTGATATGTCTACTGCCATTATGTAAAATTTAAACAAAGAACTTCAATCATTTTTAATAAAACACCATAAACATATTGCGATATATTAAAAGAGAAGTGAATTACAATCATACAATTTCCCACCAAATATAAAAGATACATCAACACATTCGACTAAGTTACACAACCTAATACTACATCGAAAACTAACAATAACCATACAATATTGCCACTAAAGGCCAAAATACTATACCTAATAAGACAGACTGAATAAATTCATGCACACAATATTTTGGACATGATTGAAGGGAGTCCACACAAATTGCATAACGCCAAAATCACATCCTTTCTTGATTGAGCGGTTTCTCTGGCTTCATTGTCATGCAAGCATTGTTAACACGCACTACATAAAGTTCATGAAGGTACTTCATTCTTTGTCGTCGTCTTTTGTTCCCTCCTTTCTCCCTCTTATTACTGTATTTCACACGTGGTGCCCACTGTATGGCATGCATCTCTTCCAACTGTATATTCTCCTTCTCCATTTCATACTGACTTTTTGGAGTTACTTGATCTTGGAAATTTCCACACCCAAGGTCTTTCATAGGAATAAAATTTTCAATCACCTTCACGCCCAAGACCCATAAGAGTTAATGATCAAATTTACAAATAGGAAAGTTCACAATAATACCAACCAAATAAATCATCAAAAAGTGTCCTACCATGTCAGCTACTTGACAATACGCATGCACATACATGCTGCTATCAGGATACTCCAGATTCCGCTGCTTCAATTTTATCTTCAGCAGCAACGTCTTGCCGACCAACATGTCAAGCTCTCCAGGAAAATCATACCCACAGCCTTGCTGCTCGTAATGAACGCACATAACAGACTATCAGTGCCGTGAAAATAAAAAACCAAATAAAAATGTGAGTTATGAAAAATCTCACCATATTAAGCACTTGCTGCATCTCACATGCAGTTTTCCCAATATCTCATAAGCCATCTTGTTTCCAAACACTACAGTGGTCCTGCCTGTACAATCCAGCACAGTGTAATGAACTTTCAACCTGCATAAATCATGGCAAACTTCATATCATCCCTGCTCTAAATTTTAAACAAAAAAATAACCACAAAAAATGAAAAGGCTCATAGTTACTTGAAGTCGACTGTTGCTGGGTACTCTTGACATATGAAATTCATGCATATAAACTTGCCCCTCACAAGTCTCAGTTTACATCCACACTTAGGACAACACTCATACTTCCATCCATACCTTGTATCAACTTTTACAATGAGACACCTGATAATAAAGTATTCATCCTGAAATATAACGCAGCATGAACACATGATCACATATCATTAAAAATCATACTGTCGTCAAAAATTAAATAGCATATAACTCTACATACTACACGTTGGTTGCATATGGCAGTGCTCAACACAAGAGGGAACTTTCTAAGAAGGCTACTCTCAGATGCATTCCCACGCAGCAATGAAAACCTCACCATTATCAGGAAAAAAATTAGTAGAAGAAAGAAACAGTTCGAATAGTTACAACGTAACTTGCCCGGTGGTTATCCCAAGCACCTCTATGTATATATATACTACTGAACTACATGATTAATAATAGATTAAGGTAGTTTATTATTCTAATAAGTTTAAGTATTTAAAAGGAAAACTACGTTGCCTGAACTAAACTAAAAGGTTTGCCATGACGTTTTTAGTTGGGATTAAATGACTATTGTCAAAGCTTTCCCATGCAAGTTATAGTTGATTCATGAATTTCCCCTGACAATCTACATTTTAAATTAATATCTCAAAAATTGAACAGTATGTTTTCATTTCCCTTGGGCAACGTCAATTTCAGAACATTTTTTCCTTACCTGTTGACATGTAATTTCATGTTACATATTCATCCTGACAAGTCGACTGCTACATCCACACATCCACACCAGCACTCAAAACAATCTATTGATTTGACTTGTCAAGCACGATTATCACTTTTCATGGGTGCCCAAGATAGTGTTATATTGACAATAAATCTCCACGTT